CCAGTAACATGAATGAATGAACATATCCGAGGGAGGTAACTAGACGAAGGGTCTGGGCAGGGCACTTCATCTATCTGGGAAGATGGGGTCTTTGAGAGAAGAAATAAGAGGGCCTGCTCTGGCCTGTTATCCCAAGACTGGCCCTTAGGCACTGATGTTGAATTACTCATTCAGAGCCCTGGGGTTTGATGAGTGGGATCTTCTAAGTTTGAGGTTTTTTCCTCAGAAACCATCCTCCTGCTCAATCCCCAGGCACCTCTCCTTTCCTGTGTCCACTTCCTCAGACTAACTTGCCAACACTGAGGAGGGAACAACCCACGGCACAACCCAGAGAGCTTAGAGTCCGGTTGGAGGGGCACTGAGGTTGGTGAGACTGTTGACCTTGGATGACCCCAACACAAGGACTTCACAGAGCCTGGAGCTCTAGAAGCTTTGGTGTTGGAGGTCATCTAATCCTACACACCCCACTGAAATCCTGCATTGCTCCTGAGACGTCCCTGGTATTTAACCCTTCTAAAAGGCCCTTGGCTTGGCAGCTTTACAGTTAGAGAAATCCATTTAGCTTTCAAGGCCTGATGATGCCCTTGTCAATAGACAAAGGAAAGGAAAGTGAAGTAAAAGCCTAGGTGTGTCTGGCTCCAAGCCCAGAAGCCAACCAAAGAGCCTGGAATATCCTTACAGACACTGACCTGCATATCATCACAAGGTAGAATTAAAATTTAGCTCTGAGGGTCTGAAAAGTTTTTTTCTTAAAGGCCTCCAGAAGCAGGCCTTGCAACATAGGCTACACTGGCCACTCCAGGGCTCACCTGCCTGGCCCAAGTGGGCTCCAGCATGACAGGCATTCTGGAATTGAGTGTTTTCAGAGGATGGATGATCCTCAGGTTTTGTATTCCTCAGCTGACTCGTATAAACAGAGAGGGTAGGAGGGAACTGCAGTAATCCCCTGGGCTAGGGTTCCAAGACTTGAGCCTCACACAGACTGTGAGCTGATAAGAGCACACAGGAATGGAGGAGGGTCATTGTCCTCTGTCTTTAAAGCTTCTGACCCATCACAATGGGGAAGCAGAAGCATCTATCACATGTTCTAGAGGGTGAGAACCAAACTACAAAGACCAAGATGACCTGTGTAAGCATACACTTCTCTAGGTGTTTCTTTCTCCCTTTGAGTTTATACTTGGACGTGGGTATATCTGGATATTCCAGATACATCCCCAGCATATCTGTTTATCTGTGTGCTTTTCTCCTTTTTTTGTTTTTTCCCTTAAATGTCATGACCCCCAGGGCTTGGTCTGGTCTGTCTTCTCTGCTCCCTTAAGATTCCCTCCTTGGTTAATCATATTCATACAGCCTTCACTGTGGCTGACTTCCAAATCTATATTCCTGTCTTCACCTGCATACAGCTCCAGATTTGTATCCATTTCTTTCCAAAAACCCCTACTTGGCTTCCCAGGTCTACAGGTGGGGCAGGGCTGGGATGGAATAAGGGTGACTGGCTTTCAGAGGTGGTTAGAAGTGTTCTGAGGGTCTGGAACAGACATACGAGAGATTAACTGAGATCCATCAATGGATCAGAAATAAGGTAAATAGTTTAGAGCTGGATTACAATATTGGCCAAGTGGGGCAAATCAAGTGAGAAGAAAGTATCCTGTGGGAAAAAAGGCACGGGGGTCAGAGATAGAGGAGGCTGCTGGGTGAGAAGGGCCACAGGAGGAAGCAAAGTGATGTGTGGTCACCATTTCTGTTCATTCTTCATGTATCTGGTATGTAAGATTCAGGAACAATCAGAGAAGCTAAGGAGCGGAATTAAGTCCAAACTAGATTAAATCCAAACTCCATAGCATAACATTCAGATCCTTTCTGACCTGGCTCATGCCTACTATTCCTGGTTCACCTTGTTCACTCCCCAGCTCACCACAGTACTACAGGCATTTCCCTGAATTCAGTGTGTCTCTTGGGCCTCTAAGGACATAGGCAATTCCTTCTACCTAGAACATCATTTCCTTTGGTATTTACTAGTAAATACCAACCCATCTTTGAGGATTTATCCCCAGCTGCCTCAACCCCTCCTGGCACAATTAATCATTCTGATGTCTTTTTGATGTCACTTGAGTCATACCCTCATACCTCAACTACTTCAACTGCATTATAATTGTATACTTGCTGCCTAAACTGAACTGTGCACTCTGTGAGGACAGAGCCTGTTTATTACTGAAGTTGTTAAGCCCTAGCATCTAAATAGTGGCTAGCACAAACTCGGTGCACAGTAATCATTTGTTGGATGAATTAATGAATGGACGAATGGGCTCACGTTCTTATAGGGGAGGCAAACAAGTAAAGAGAAAATTACAAAGCAGGGTTATGCTGTCAGGTCATTTTGGGTACAGAGAGGAAGGAATGCCTAATTCCAGGCAGCCCTAACCCACTTCCTGCCCCTGCAATACGCAATTTATCATAAAAACACCCAACAGTAGAATAAAAGCTTATTTTTGAAACAAACAAGAAATACTATCCATAGGAATGAAATTAGATAAACTTGTTCTTTGTGGGCAGGGGTAAGTGCCTCTGCTCTGCTGGTGACTGGTATTCAGTCAGGGTGCTGGCACACTCCAAAATATAACTGAGGAGAACATAATGATATGGTAGAGATGGGGGAAGGCTAAGGACACTAGTCAGGGCTGAAGGGACCCAGAGACCAGCAACAGCAGGAAGCTGCCGCCGCCCCTGAGCGTGAAATCCAGAGTGGGCGTCTGAGCTGCAGTCATGGAGGAGCACAGCCAGTGTGAGAACCTCAGCCTGGCCTGGCAGGCTGCTGGTGGGGGAACCACAGCCAGGCTCTCCTTCCATCCTCAGATCTGCCTCTGGTCCTCATTAGCTGAACTCAGAAGCCAGAGGGCAAGCGAGCCCTGGTGATGCAGTTCACAGAGGTCAGCCTCCACGGGTAGGGTGGAGAAAGGCTGAGAAGGCAAACAGAAAATAACCAGCAAGGAGGGGAGCTGTTTCTGCTTTGCTGGTAACCTACATATATATGATCATTGGCTATCAGGTATTCAGACAGATTCAAGCCCTTTGGATGACAATTCCATGCTTCATGTTTTGTGTGTGTTTGTGTGTGTGTGTGTGTGTGTGTGTGTGTGTGTGTACATATATATATAGTAGGGGTTTGGGGTGGGACAAGGGTATCTATGTTTTTAAAAAGCCTCCCAAGTAATTTTGATAGGCCCTGCTTATTGAGAACCACCCTCTTATTTTTATAAATAGGGAAACTAATGTCCAGAGAAGTGAAAAACAACCTGACTTGGCCACTCTCTGTTTGAGAACTGTCCCTCAGGTGATGCTAAAAGGTTTGGCTGGAAAATTTTCATGTTTATATGTATCTTCTAGTCCAGTCATTCCATTTTATTGATGAGAAAACTGGGCTTCCAAAAATGGAGTGATGTGCCCAGTTATACAACTAGTAAGTCACAGAGAAGGAGGGACTAGTACTAAGTACAGTATTTTTAACTCTCAATTCAGTGCTTTTTGCAGGCAGCATATTTGTAGGAAGATTTTGTGTGTGTGTGTGTGTGTGTGTGTGTGTGTGTGTGTGTTAAAAGCCCTGAGGGCAGCAATTCTCATCTTCCATTCTGGTAAGGAAAGTCTCTGCAGCCCCTAACTGGGAAGAAAGCAGAGTAGGCAGAGCTCATGGCTCCTAGGTCTCTGAGCAGATGGGGCTTGAAAGGTAGTGGAACACTGTGGGGGACTCTCAGTACCAAGCCTCAACTCTTAACTTTATTGCGCCTGGCTCTGAATTTCTGGTGGCCCCTTGTGGGAGGAAGTCACAGGAAACCTCAACCCATGGGCTTCTCCCTGGCCAGTTAAGTTACAAGGCTAGGGTCCAGCACTAAGGCCTCAGTGTTACCATCCTAGGATGTTTAAATTCCTTCATGGCTGCTAATTAGGGTTGATTAGGGCCTAAACCCCATTTCCCAAAGTCTGACATACAACTACTTCTCTCCTACAGCAGACCAAAGATCACCAGCCCATTCTTTAAGATCTATCTGAACTTTCCATGTCCAGAGAGCCTTCTAGGTTTAAATGTCTTGAAACTAGCAACCCCTCCCCCTCCCCATCTACTCAACATGCTAGGCTTGGGAGGAACCTTAGAGATCATCCACTCATCTTATATATGAGGAAATCAAGGCCAGAGAGGAAGTGATTCACCCAATCACACTGCACTGAGTAGCAAAACAGACTAGATTCCAGTCCACTTGACTGCCTACCAGTCCATCCATGTAATTCCCATGGTTCTGAACACACTTGGTTCCAAATGTGCCTGTGTATCTTTATTCTGTAATCTCAACAGTAAATCTGCTTAAGTTGTATTTTTGGCAAAGTTGGTTCACACTCCTCTGGGTCCTTAAAAACGCTCAGGTCTGCCTGTCTGTCATTCCTGGTGCATTCCTGTGTGTAGTACAGTTGTCTGAGTTGTGAGAGATGTGTACCTAAGGGCAGTTTCTGTGTTTGTTATGGGTCTATAGGCTACTGCGTCTCCGTTTTTATGTTAATAAATGTGTGTGCACATATGGTTGTCCAGTTTTGTGTATTTATGTTCTATGCCTAAGGGAAACTGTGATTCTGTGTGTTTGTGTATATATAAGGATTGTGGGTCTAGGGCTGCTGTGTACCTATTCGTCTCTTCTCCTGTCTAAGGCTGTGTGTCCTCTGACCATCGTGTATCCATTTGGATGCATGTTTGTACACAGTGAAGGTTGTAGCTTTAATTGCAACTGTGTCCGTGTGGACTGCAAGTTTAACGTCCAAAGGGAAAATGTCTTTGCCTTTCCCCCGGGTTATGAGAAAATGTGCGTAGCCATGCCTCCAGGGCAGGAACGTGTCTGTCTCTCAGCCAAGCTCTTTCACCCAGGGATCGGGATCATGGTCACGTTCCGGGATGCCTTTGGCACGGCTTCCCGGAAAGGTGGAGCCTCGAGGGCCCCGCCTCCCGGCCCCTGCGAGAAACCTCTTTTCCAGCTGCAGGAGCCCGGGACCCGGCTGGCGCCGCCAGGCGGCCTCCCCCCCGCCCCTCGGCACGGCTCCAGCCAACTCATTGGCCGAGTCCGCGATGACGTCGTGGGATCACAGAAAGAAATCCCAGCGCCCGGCGCACCGGAGGTATTCTTCGTCAGCTCGGGCTACCTACGTCCTCGTCTCCTCACCTGGCCGCTGCAGCCTGCAGCGCGTCTCAGCGCTGCGCACATCGCCGCCGCCATGGTGTCCCCGGTCACTGTGGTGAGTGAGGGAGCAGCGAGCGAGCCAGTGTCTCCCGCGGCCGGAGCCCCCCGGTTTGGGGACTGGGCTGCGGCGGGCCAAGCTGCTGGGGGCCGAGGAAGCGCAGGGATTCTGCGGCGGCCGGCGGCCCCGGGCGGGAGGCGGGCGCTGGTACGGCCCCCTCCTCCCCAGACCCGCGGCGCCCCTCCTCCGTGCACCCGCGTCCGCCCGCGGGAGAGAGGACAACAGTGGGCACGTGACTCGGAAGCGTGACTTTGTTGATGTTTATGTTTGCCGCGGCTCGGCGGGGTCGCTGCCGCGGAGAGGAAGAGAACTGCAGAGGGCCGCGGGGTTCGGTGTGGCAGACCACAGGGAGGCGTGGGAGGCGGCGGGAGAGGGCAGGAGGGTGACTGGGACCTGCTCGGAATCCTGTCCCAAATGTGTTTACTTCCCTTCCTCATCTTATAAAGTAGTCGCGGGCGGGGAGGCGATGCCCCTGAGTCTAAGCACCATTGACAATGCGCTGGAGGAAGAGGGGTGATTTCTATTGACACCTCTTCACTGTTTCTCAACTCGAACCGTTGTCTCTTTCCCACCCTTCTAATTCTGGTTTCTCTTATGTCTGGTCACAGTCTCCCCAGCCACAACTGCCTGTTTCTCCTAGGAAATAAAGGGCTGGGGGAGGAGTACGGAGCAGATGTTGAGGCTTCGGAGGGAGGGCAGGTGGATGCTGGGGAAATCTGGGGACTGTGGGGCTGTGCCTCTTCTCCAGTCTCCTCTGCCCATGCCCCTGCCCTGACGAGCCATGGCGGATGAACTTAGTTCTTCCCCCTGCTCCCACCCCTGGCAGAGTAAGGGCAGGCTTGGACCTGGACCCATCGACATGCTCTTCCCAAGCTCCTTCATAGTCTGATCAGTCCACAGGTAACTGGTGGGAGTCTTGAGTGTGTCCCCAGAGCCCTGTGCTGGACAGCCATAGGCTGGTCAGAGTGTAGGTATCCAGGGAACCACAGCTGCTCTGAATAGCCCCCAGAGACTGTGCACCAGAAGCCCAAGGAAAGAGGCTTCAGGGGATCACAGATGCAGAGTATCTGCAGCAGCGCCCTTCCTTAGCTTGGAGAGTGCCTGAGGTAGCCTTGGACACAAAGTTCTTTAGCTGCCCTCCCCCCTAATCTGGCTGAGACCAAGTCAGCTGCTCTAACTTCCCTCTCTCAATTCCCCACTCCTCCAAGCCTGTCTGCTGGCTTTAGATCAAAAGCTGGGAAAAGAACCCTACCCCCTCTTCCTTCCTCTCTTTCTGATGTGCCTTGAGTTGCTCTCATTTTCTGGGAAATTAGAGTGACACCCTCCTCCAGTCCCCTAACCCCTGAAATTACTGGCATTTCAGGGACTGTTTTCTTCCAACTCATGGGTCCATTTCTGTAGCTAACATTCCCATCTTTCTGTTTGCCCTTGATGGTACCTTTAGGCTGTGGCAGCTGGAGTACAGGCTGAGGAGCGCCTGTGGGGGCTGAGGTGACTGGCAGTGCCCACCCTCATGCATTCCTGGCACTCACCCACTGTTGCCAGGGCCCTAAGCCTGCGTCCTGGCCCCACGGCTGAGGATCACGAGGTGGCCAGTTGTGGCATCTCTGTGGTTTCCTGCTGATTCCACTCCATTCCAGACAGCTGGGGGCTGTTGCTGGCAGAAAGGGACTAAAGGGGCTTTGGAGAGGGAGAAGGAAGGGCCAGGAAGGGAGAAGCACTGGGCTGCAGAAAGGGCCATTATCCCAAAGTCATTTTTCTGCCTAGTGAGTGACCATTCTGGTCCTGCCCCAGGGTCAAGAATGGCCTGGGGCAGCAGGAACAGTGGAGCCCTTCTTCCTATCAATTAAACCTCTGGGTAGTGATGGTGTGTTCACACTTTGCTGGCTGGGCTGGCCACACTGGGTTTCTGTGTTTCAGTCCTCCCTGCTTGGGAGGTAGGGCTCTCTGCATGGATGTCTGGGCTGAGGGTGCTGGATCTGAGCTCCCCTGTGGGCTTCTGAGCTCCTAAGCTCTGAGTGCTGCCCCTGTCCTATGTCCTCCAGGTAAAGAGTGAGGGACCCAAGCTGGTGCCCTTCTTCAAGGCCACCTGTGTGTATTTTGTGCTCTGGCTGCCCTCATCCAGCCCATCATGGTTCAGCGCCCTCATCAAGTGCCTGCCCATCTTCTGCCTCTGCCTCTTCCTTCTGGCCCATGGCCTAGGATTCCTGCTGGCCCACCCCAGCGCCACCCGCATCTTTGTGGGGCTCGTCTTCTCTGCTGTAGGTGATGCCTTCCTCATCTGGCAGGACCAGGGCTACTTTACGCACGGTCAGTTGCCACAGTAGCTGCCTGGGAGGAATCCTGGGGCTGGGCACTAGAGGGTCATAGGGGGCTGAGGATTTGGGAGGGGATTTTGAACAAGAATAAGGGGAATCTGAGGGGCTCCGAGGCCAAGAACTGTGGGGCTCTTGTAGGAGGGTGACCTTGCAGGTGATCAGGCCATCAGTTTTGGAGGTCCTCAGGGGAATGCAGGGGGTGGGGGTGGGCAGTGTTACCTTTGAAGATTTCTTCCCACCCCTGGTACTCCCTAATCAAAGCTCCTGGGTCATGCTAAGCACTTGGCTCTCACCCCAACTCCCTTTTACTCATTACTCACCTGAGCCCGTCCTCAGCATCCCCTCATTCTCTTTTATTCCCAGGTCTGCTGATGTTTGCTGTGGCCCATGTGCTCTACGCCTCCGCCTTTGGCATGCGGTCATTGGCTCTTCAGAAAGGTCTGGTGATGGCAGTGCTATCGGGCCTGTCCTACGCCCTCCTCTACCCATGCCTCTCAGGTGCCTTCACCTACCTGGTGGGGGTCTATGTGGCCGTGATTGGCTTCATGAGCTGGCAGGCTGTGGCAGGGCTACAGCTGATCGGGGCTGCCTGGCGCTGGACTGAGTTGGCAGCAGTCAGTGGTGCTCTGCTCTTTATCATCTCAGACCTGACCCTCGCCCTCAACAAGTTCTGCTTCCCTGTGCCCTACGCACGGGTGCTCATCATGTCTACCTACTACGCTGCCCAGATGTTTATCGCCCTGTCAGCTGTGGAGAGCCGGGAGCCAGTGGAGGATGATAGACGAAGCAAGACCAACTAGGACGCTAGGATCTGGTTGCCCCTCTCTCTCTCTGGAGCTGGGGTCCAGAACCTAGGAGCCTGCAAGAGCTGGGTCGGGATGGCTGCAGTACCAGTCTGGGGCCAAAGAAACCGCCCAAGAAATACATGAGTTTGAGGGGGTAAGCAGGAGAAGGATCTCTAGTAAAGCTAGTGGTCCAAGACAATGCCAGGAGCTAGAAAGATCCAGCCTAATGCTCTAGGCTGGAGCCAGAAGTAGATATCTCCTCTCCTGTACCCCATTGCATTGTCAAAGTCCCGCAGGAGGGCAATGGTGCTCAGCCCCTTGATGTCCCCCAACTTCTACTAGATGGAAAGGTCTGACTGCCCACTCCTACTCTTCCTGATCCACATGGAGTTGAGGGAAGAGGGGAGAATCTGCTGAGATGATCCAAGGCTGGGGCTTGAAGCCCCTTTCACAGGCCCCTTGTTGGGAAGATTGGGTAAGGGTAGAGCCTTCCTCTCTCTCATCTATCCTTGTTACTTGAACAGTCTTAATCTCTGAGTGGTGGTTGGGAAGGTGAAGGGGTGTTTGATTGAGACAAGATTGGGGATTTCTTTGGGAGCTTGGGGTCCCAAGGACTCATGATGGTCCCATCTCTCTCAAAGGTCAGCCTAAAGCTCAGGCCCCAACACTACCACCCTCAGACCCTATCTCCAGGGCTGGGGTGAACCATGCCAAAGGACAGGGCCAGCCTATGTGTGTGTGTGTAGTCTATTGCCCAGCCTTTCTGGGTTTTTCTTTGCCATCTGTCTCGGTCCTGCTGTCTGTCAAAGTCATGTAGGGAGAGAGCTTCAGGGAGGTGCTGAGGGGGTGCTGAGCCTGACTCAGAAGCTGGGACCCCCCTCCCCCATTGCTTTCCTCCCTGTCCCTCCTGTACTGGGAGGAAAAGGAGGGTGCTCCAGTGACACTCTAGGATCAGAAGACCCAAGGCACATTCAATGCAAGGGAAGCAAGGATGGGACAACTCCATCCTCTACTGCTCATGTGAAAAATAAAAATAAAAACCAAGGGCCACTGGTTGCCCTACTTGTCTAGCTGTGTGGCATGTGCTGTCCAGAGACCCTGGATGTTGTCACAGCCTAGGCCACAGTCCTGCCAGTGCATCCTGGCGCTGGGCTGGCTTCCTGGCTCTAGTGACACTGCACTGGTTGGAGTGGGTCTCACTCCCCTGGCCATGTGTACAGGCAAGGATGTAGTTCAGGAGGGTGGGGGATGGGTAGTATTTGCCACTGTCCAAATTTATCCCTGATGTACTCTGCTGTGTATGGGCTCCCAGCACCTTTGATGACTTTAGTTACTGAGTGTTCTTTACCGCTGCCCACCTCCTCCCCTCCCCACACCAGACCTGCTTCCTCCTCCAAAATGATCTAGATTCCCTTAAAGCATCACCTTTCTCTTAGACTCTGGGTGCAGTTGAACAGTGGGAGGAATGAGATTAGTTTTGCTGATTCATACTTTAGATGAAGCCCTGCAGAATAATGTGTCACCCCACTCCATGGGCATTTGCATCTTAGTGGGCAGTGCCATGACCCAGAAGTAGAAAGGGAAGTATTAGGCGATAGTGAATATGCCATTAGTAGAGAGGGTGTACGGTTGTGGGAATATGGTAGAGAATACTCAGGTCCCATGTGAGTGGTGGATGAATCAGTGCTTTTCAAACTAGGGTCTTTACAGAGATCCCTAGATAACAAAAGGAAAACACAATAGGGAGGCCCAAAGACCCTCTATCCTTGTTTCAAATCCAGGAGCTTCTTACGGTTTTTTTTTTTTTTTTTAAGGATTCCACTGAAAAACCTAAGTTGAAACCTAGTGAGCTGGGTGGCCAATCCCTTAGCTACCCAGATGCACTAATTCCAAACACAGTGAGAACCCTGGACACTAAAGAGGCAAAGTCCTGATTCCTTCAAATCCCAGAACTCTGAAGACAGACTTCCCTGGTGAAGAAACAGGAGAGAGCAGAATGGGGATAAGGATGGAGTGACCAAGACTTGCCCCATCCCAAGTGGGAAGGGTTTGGTGTGGCTGTAAAGGATGGGAAGGCAAGTTGAGGCTCAGTTTAAAAGGGGCTGGACACTCCCTAAAGGGGGTTTGGGCCAAGCTCTCAGGGGTCTGGGTTCTGTGATATCCCCATTCCACTCCCAAGTTCATCTCCTTGGTCCCTACTGCACACCACCTTCAGGAACAGGCAAGAGTGAGCCAGGTCTGTTTACTGTCCCATCCCTACAATGAATGTTTATATTGACAACATCAGTGAGCCAACTGGGCTGCCCTCACGGGCCATGCAGAGGACAGGCCAACAGAGCCACATCGCATCATCCCCCTGACTGGGGATGGAGCTCACATAAGGTACTTTGAGTTCTTCTGCAGACTCTCAGTGACAGATGCTAGAACTGACGTGTCATCTTTGTCTGAAAGAGCAAAGCAAGTATTTGTTAGTGTTAATGATGCTAGGGGCAAGGGAAACTCCAAATTGCTGGACTTGCAGTTACTATGCAGGAACCAGGGGCTGGACGGGGCCTGGGACCTTAATCTTCCTCTGGGGCTGGGCCTAGGCCTGGGTGCCAGTATCTCAAGGTCAGCTGAGTGTGTGGGACCAAGAGCTGCCAACTGTTCCACATTTAATATTTGCCAGCCATGTGCCAGGCACTCCTATGCGCTATCTCATTTAAGTATCACAACAGCCCTATGAAATAGATGAGGAAACAGGCTCGGAGGGAGGCTTGCCATGGTGACATGGCTGGTCAATGGTAAAGCCAGGGCCCTGGGCCCATGTGTGTACAACCAGAATTAAGTTGTCAGGGATCTCTCTAGCTGTGGAATGAAAGCTAGAATGTCTCCCACAATGCCTTGCCTGGCCTACTTCTAGTACACAGTGCAGGAGCCACTCTGGAGGCACTTCTCAGGCCCAGACCCCTAGCTGTGTACTTGAGAGACAGGAACAGGACATGGTCCCTTCTCCAAGGAAAGGCATCTATAATACGATGAAAATGTTCTGTATCCATTGTAACCATGGACACCAATGCTGAGCCATGGAAAGTTCAGGGCGGGTGGGGCAAGGGATGAGGCTGAAGTGGTAAATGGGTGTGGGGAGTCTTGTTGGTTGAGATTTTATCAAAATCATGGGAAACTAGAACCATGGAGGAGCAAGGCAGGTAACCTTTGCAAGTAGAAAGTTCATGTTACTAGTTGTGCAGCTGTGAAGACGGCAGAATGTGAAGGAAGAAATAAAATACGTCCCGTACATAGGCACACGTGTGCAGAGGAAGGGCCTCCAGTAGGTACCCTTCAGCCTCCTGGATTTGTGCCTCAGGTGTTCTTATCCTGGACTAGTAGTTTTCAATTTTGGTTGCACATCAGAATCACTTGCAAAGTTCTGTCAACAGATTCCTTCCAGAATCCTGTCAGACAGATTGTAACGGGTGGTCTGGTTTAGGCCTGGTTACCAGTATCTTTTATCAAGGCAGGTCTAGGCTGACCAACAACTAAAAACCACAGTCTATTGAGGCACTGTAGGGGGCAGGCACATAACAAATGAGGTGGAGAGGATGGGAGAGGTACAAACTACAGCACGTTAGCGAATGTTTGCACCACCTGTGAGCACATTAAAAACCAGCACCTGCCATTTTAAGAGTTGATCGACAGCCCACGACACGGCCATTTTGAGCCTCTGGCCCAGATGGGACACAGGCTGCCCCTCCCCCTGCCGCCAGGTCGAGCCAGCGCAGGGTCCTCGCTGTAGACAGGTTGCAGTTCCTGCGGGGCTTGCCCGGCTTGTCTCCACCGGCACGCTTTACTCGCCGCCCTCCTGGAGCGTGCAGGTGGGGATGAAGATCGTGCACACTCTGCTGGTGGACTTGTACCAGAACTTGGAGTTGGCCGTGATGTTGACGCCGCCCTTGTAGACGGTCGCTGCGGGCCGCGGGTTCCCAAGGAAGGCGCAAGTCGTGGTGCGGTCCTCGCCGCGCAGCGCGATGTGCGGCTTGAGCGGGGTCTGAGAGCGCGGCGAGTGGCGCCAGTCCTGTTGGTAGGGCTTCAGCGGGGCGCTCAGGTCCCCGTCTGCGCGGGCGGGACACAGCGGGCCCCGAGCGCGCCCACCCGCTAGAGCTCCAGGGCCCCCGGGAGTCCCAGCTCTAGGAACCCCGATTCCCACACGCGGTCAACTCTGGGGCCCGACTTTATACTGGTTCAAAGGTTCCCCGTTCGCCAGCCTCCTACCCTCTTGCCACTCCAGAGTTCCACGACCTAAATCAGTCCTTGGGATTTTACTCTTATCAGACCAGGAGTCCTAGACTTCTTTCCAGTCGCCAGCGACCCGGACCCGAGCTGTTATCTGGCTTTAAACTCCCGGTCCAAGCTTTCCAGTAACATTCCAGCCTCTAGGGTCTTCTTGGCTCCCTCCTAATTCGCCCTTGATGTCCTGTCCGATGCCTTAATCCCTTCCCTCCAGGGTTCCTGGACGTTATCCCCGCCCCCACTCCTCGGAGACTCCTAGTCTTCACCGCCCAGCCCCGCTCCCGCCTCAAGTCTCAGCTCCACACCCGCCCTGCCCTCCGGCCCTCCAGCCCCTCCCCCCGACCGCCCCACCTCATCCCTGCACCCAAGGGCACCTCTCCACCTCCCCACCTCCATGTTAGTCCTACCCCTCAGAATATCCCTAAGGTATTTCCTCCCCGTGGGCTTCCTGAGCTCTACTCTCCCCAGCATTCTAGACCTGAACCCTGCCATCTCAATGGTTCTCAGGTTTTACCTTATATCTTGGGCACCCCTGCAACCCTAGTATTGTTCCCACCATCAGGGATCCCACACGTAACCCGAACCCCACAAGTCCCCTGACTTACTCTTGTCCTTGTTGACGAGCCAGGTATCCTTGGAGTCCAGCGGATCCCTGTCAATTGGGCCACAACTTGGAAGCAGTACTTCCTGCGGGGAGCAACCCTGTCATGGTGTACTTGTTGCGGAACGAACGCCGGGTCGCTGTGAACCAGGTGGCAGTGCCCCAGGTGGCAGTGCTCGCGTCCTCTTCATGATGACATAGTGCGCCTCACCGCCCTCCTGCACGTTGGGGCTGTGGTTCCAGGTTGGAGTCACCATGTTAGGGACCTCTTCAAACAGCTGTAGGTTTGTGGGTTACTGTGGAAAATCTACAACAGCTGGAAGGTCCATCAGCCACCCTGGGGGGCCTGAGGCAATGCCCCCACCTCAACCACCTGCCAAGCCCTATGGGGGATGGGATGAGGCACTCCCTTCTTTGAGTCTCAGGCAGCTGGTGTCTTGGTGTTAGAACTATTTCTAAAGTGTAGCTCTGCCATTTACTAGCCCTGTGAACTTGGGCAAGTTACTTATCCTTTCTGAGACCCATTTCCTCCTTTTCAAAATAAAGCTAGCAGTAACTATCATAGCAATGTTTGGTGAAGTGCCTGGCATCAGTTAAAGTTCATCCTTCATCCCTTGGGGATTTAGGGCTTTATTATAAAGCTTCCAACCCTCTCTAAGAAGTCAGCCCAATTTTCAGTGGACTCATTTCCATCTGTTCCTCCTGCCTCTTGCCTATTCTCTGCTTGCTCTGCTGGCCATACTTTTCATATGCCCTGAAACTCAACCAGATATGACTGCAGAAACTAAACAAGGTCTTGGCCCTAGTTCAATGCCTCTGGAGCTTCAGGACATTGAGAAAAAGCAGAAACAACCTCTCCCTTAAGGCAAAGGCTGATAAAGTCTTGCTTTATGGTGTCAAAGAAGGCTTCACTATCTTAGTGCATGACTTTACAGGGGTAGGAACCCAAACCACATTGGGAGCTCTACTTTGGAGTGTGTTCAGGGAAACCTCCCTGAGGCCTCTGCCCACTGTCATACCTGCCACATGCAGTGGATGTCATAGTATGCTCCTCCAAGCTCATTCTGGAGCAAGATGCAGTACACCCCTGAGTGAGAGTGCTTGGTGCTGTTGAGGAGGAACTGGGAGTAGTTTTTGCTCTTGGTGATGCTTTCCTGGCCCTTGGTGGGGGTGCCATCTTTCTGCCAGATCATGTCGGGTGGTTGTGAGCCCTGGGTGATGACAGGAGATGGCATCAGGGGTCACCCAGGTAGTATTTGGGAGTGGGCCCTCTCCACTTTAAGGAGTCTCCTGCCAGGCTCTAGTATCAATGGTCTGGAGAGGGACAGAGTCAGAGGCAAAGGCTCTGATAGCTACAGTAGCCATATTCATTAAATGGTAGGCATGTAGCGGCCAGGGTTGGGAATGATTCACAGAAGGCAGCATGGATGCAGAGGGCTGTCCCAGTCCGAACCACCACATGATTCTTCACTGAGGTCAAACTTGGGGGCGCCTGAGATGGAGGAGACAGAAGTGGGGCCGTGGACCTCTTTCTGGAAGACTCAGCTTAAAGCTGCCTTCCAAAGCCTTTCCCAGCCTCTCCTGCTCCCACTACAGGCCAGCCAGCAGCCCTGCAACACTCGGAAGCATCTATTTTTATATCTATCTCCCTCTATATGTATGTTAGACTCTTCAGGGCTGGTCCTGTATTGTATTTGTTTCTAACACCTCTGTTGGCACACAGTAGATGCTATTTGGCACACAATAAGAGGGAGTTGTTTTGGGGTGGGGAAGCCACTGGGGTCACCCCTAGCCCTGTCCAGGCACAGCAAGAATGAAGAATTCACAGCATCACCCAGTTTTACCCTGTGTGATGACTCAGAGAGGAAGGCTTGGAACTAGGATTGTAGGGCCTACATCTCAGGCCTCTTTGGGCCCTCACCTGCTGGTTGCATGGCACGGACCCCCTTGTCCTGCACTCCGACCCCAGCCTTATTCACATCCCGGATTCAGAAGAAGAAATTTCCGCCTCTCAGTGAGGCCTCCCACCATGTAGCAGGTGCCCAAGATGGAGATCTTTGCGCACTTTGAGCACTCCTGGTGTCTTTGGCCTGCATCTCAAGGATATAGCTGGAGGGTGGGTCTCTCCCTGCAGGCTCCCACCAGATCAGGGAGAAACTGGAGTTGGAGGAATCAGACACGTGCAGGTCCCGGACCAATCCTGGGGGTTCTGGATGGCACAGACATCCAGTCAGCCCCCCAGCCCATCTCCACTCAACTCCATGCCCAATTCCCACAAAACTTTACTTTCACTCTTACTTCCAGCTTCCACATTTAACACCCTCAATTCCCAACTGTGCATATTCAACAAGCTCCAGATTCAGTTCTCACTGAGTCAACACTTTCACCCTTCAAGTCACTACTCTCCAAATTCAACATACCCGACACACTCAGCCCCTTTATTCAAAAAGTCCAGCCATCTTCCCACATCCATTCATTGCAGTGCCTCCCTCTCACTTCCTAAACTCAGCACTCTCTACCATCTACCCAATACCCCTACTCATCCTCAAACATGCCTCTACTACCTTACCTAACCAGAAATACTCAAAGTGTGACAAAAACTATTTTCCACCCTGCCTCCTTACTCTGCCTGACTCTCATTCTCTATTTGCTGGCTTTTTCTTACATGTGAATCCTGACCCTCAGACTGGCAGCTCCCAGAGAGTGGAGACTGTGTGACTCTTCTGGTTAGACTTTCCTGGAGAAGAAATCCTCTCTCTACTCTGAACGGGCTAATTCCATTACGTGTTGGGGCCTGGCAGCTCCATCTGTACTCACTGACAGGGTTCTTGGCCCCCACTGAGTTGGATGATATACTGGGCTGTCTGGGGCCTGCCTTATTCACAGCTACAACTCAGAATTTATCTTCTGTGTCCTCCAGGAGACTGTCCATGGTATACTTGGCATCTGAAATGGGAATTTGAGGGGTATGAAGCCAGGGAGTCCATGGGGTGAGAGACCATAAAGTGAGAGCACATGGAAAAGAGGGTCATGGGGTGCTATTAAAACCCCTGAAGGAATTGGTGGAAGGAGTATGTTCAGAGCAGCAGGGGTACATGGGTCCACCCAGCAAAGCTTCCCTTGGCCCCGTCTGGGCCTCTGTCCCTACAACCTCATCCTGGATGGGGTCCTTGTGGACTGACACCCATAGTTACTACCATTCTTTCTCCATTGCACAATGCAGTCAAGCACTGGGGCTCCCCCATCCTGAGTGAGGGCATTCCATATGATGGTCACAGCCTCTTTGGTCACATCAACCACTTGGGGATGGGAGGCAAGACCAGGAGGCTCTGTGGGAGACTGAGGGCAGAGGTTAGGAGGGGGCACCCCAGGCTGATCTCTGGCCTTCTCCTTAAAGAAACTTAGCTTCTGGTGGCATATTAAGTGGGGAGTAAAAACATAAAAATACCACCACCAATTAGTATCTGGGTTCTACCTCCAGATACTCTAACTTACTTGGCCTGGAGTGGAGGCCAGGCACCAGCATTCTTTTAAAGATCTCAAGTGATTTGAATGTGTAGACAAGATTGAGAATCACTGACTTGAACCTTGCAACTTATGTCTTCTCCAGTGCCATCATTCTTAATGTACTGTCTTGACACAGTGAGCCATAGAGATCAGCTGGGAGAAGTGTAATAAGTAATTAACTGAGCAGTCATAATTAAAATACTGATGTTGTCAAGGGTTTTCTTTGGAAAAAAAATTAGAATGGATTCAAGGTTACTCCTAGAGTAACATCACTCTCATTGGGATGCAGGATGATTTCTGGAATGGAGAAACAAATAGATGCATTTCTTTGGAATTGTGCACAGTTCTGGATATATACATAAGACAGTTTTGTGCATGTGATCTAACTGGAAAAGTTGACAATTCCTTTTCCAAACAGTGTTCTATCCTTACTCTGCAATCCATCCGTCTCATGGGACAGCTAGAGAGGTGACCCTCTGGAATTCCCCACAGACCACCATTCCTCACTAGCTGACAGCCCCCATCCTGACCCCGGAGTTTCCCACTGAGCATGGAGCTATCTCAAAGACCGATAGGATTGCCTGCAAACACTTCATCTGTTTCCAGCGGGTCACTCACTCCTTTGGAATTGACGGCCAGGATACAAAACTGATAGGGTTTTCCTCCTCCTACCTTGTTGATGGAGATCTCAGTGACTTTGCTGCCCACCTCGCCTATCTTGATAAAGGACTTCTTGCTGACCACCCTCCGTTCCACTGTGAACTGCATTACAGGTCACCCGCCATTGTCCTTTGGAGCCTTCCATTTCATATGCACAGAACTATCCGTGAGCTCCAGGAACTCTACCTGGCCCTGGGAAGGCTTGGGATGGTCTTAGGACAGGAGATTGTATCAGAATGGGGCTTTGGAGCAAAGGATCAGAAGGGCTTCATTCCACTCACCAGAGGTCCATCCAGGCTGGGACATAGCTAGATTCCAAGCTTTCTGGATTCCTCGCCCTTCCCTGTGCCCACTGCCTTTCCTTCTGAGAATTGTCCTAAGAGTTTGATCCTTGCCCCTGATACTCCTGCCTGCCAAAGAGTGGGTAGACTAGAGACCTGCGGGGATCCTGCCTCCTCTGATCCACCTTTGTCCCCTTCCAGACAAGATCTCCCCTCCTGTCAGCATCTAGAACTGCAGTGCTTGTTGGTATTTTGGTGCCTTATGTTTTAATCACATGTCTACCAGTTTTCATCCCTTTTGGGTTGGAGGACTGCTGGGGATACTTCATTTCTGTGTCCTCAGCACTGAGATCACAGAGGAGGTGCTCAGTCACTGCTGAACTGCATTGAAACCCAAACCTTCTCACCCCACACCTTGATGGAGGTGCAGATTGGGGAGATGGTAACAGTGTTGTGTGTGTGTTGCATTTTGAATGTGAGCTCACTAAGGCCAGTTCTTTCAAATCCATTCCCACCCCCATTCCATCTTTCTCTTCAACCTCATTTTATTCTTAGCTCTCTCTTACCTTGCCTCACTCCATTTCACTTTCCAACTCCAATTCTCTTCCCAACCAACCCCACTTCCATCCTTAAATCCCATCCTTCATCTCATTTCCACCTTACTTCCAACCATGTCCTCATCTCCAAGTCAATAACAATATTTATGTAACATTTCAAGGTCTATTATGTGCTGTGCATTCTGCTATGTGCTTTAAATTCACTTGAAATATATACTTTAAAAAAAAAATCACCCCATGGCAGATGAGAAACAGAGGTGAGAAAGGTTAATCTTGCCCAAGGCCACCTAGTTAGGAAATTAAGAAGTGGGCTTCTGGCTGCAAAGTCAGGGCTCCCATTTCATTTTCAACCCAAACTCCAGCTCTATCCCCAGCCTGGCTCCCACTAGGAGCACTGAGCAGCAGGTGCCCTTGGCCCATTCCAGCCAGGGTCCTGTGCTCACCCAGCACACTAAGGTACAAAGTGGCCGTGGCTCTGCCATGGTCATTCTCGAGTTTGAGCAGAACGAGGCTGCTGTCCTTACACATGCAGTTTGAAATGATGAGTGGTGCTTCGTCTTCCCCACCCTCCATGGACACACATTCCTCCTCTGTCACCTCCACACCGTCCTTGTACCACGTCACTTTGGGCAGTGGCTTTGCTCAGAAGGGCACCTCGATGTTCGCCGTGTCACTCATCTTCATGGTCACGGGGTGCACTGCCAGTGCCTCCAGTATTGATGGGTTGATGGTAGGAGGATCTGTGGGGTGGGGTGGCAGGGAAAGCTTGCCCAGCAGGGATTGGGGAAGAAAGGAGCCGGTGGAGCCCACAGGGAGTGGGGAAGAGCTACGAGCTTGTCGGTGGGCCTGGTCTGATTGGGCTTTGTCTATAGTGGGTGGAGACTTTATCTGCAATGAATACGGAGGCTTTGCTCTCCACGTCCTTGGCCCAGAATGTATTTGCCCTCATGTTCGGGGCCCAAATTGAGGAAGATGAGCATGTGCACCGCACCCTGCTTCACAGTCTGCATGCCAGGCAAGTCTGTGATCTGGGGGGCAAGCGGCAGGCGTGGGTGCAACTGTACACGCAGTCAGCCCCAGCCTTCTTGGTCTCCTTCCCAATCCTCTGCCTCAGATCTCCTTGCCACCCTTCAGCCACATGCCCTTCACCTTCTCATTGTTCAGCACTACGTACAGCTCAGTCAGGCTCCCAGTAGCCACGTGCACATCGGACATCCCACTCTTCACTGTGGCCAGATGCTCTGGGGAGAAGGAGCAGAGGTTTGGGTTAGGGTATTGGGGTGAAGGGACTCATGGGAAAATCCTGGTGGCCAGGCAGGGGTGCCACTCTATTAAACTCATTTATGATGGAAATGGTCATGGGCAATTGGGAATGGCCAGCAGGGGAATTGGACCAAGTAGGTGGGGGACTGGGGAAATGTCAGTGGCACTGGGAAATGGTGACCAGGAAGACGGCGAGATGGCTAATGGGGGCTCATCATTACAGGGTGGCCAGTGGGGACTTGTGATGCTAAGCTGAAGGAATAGATGGTGGGGTTGGGATGTTTGGTTGTGGTTATGCTGATCTGTGTGATGCCCAGGGTGACTGGAAATTGAGGGTGGTCAGGGTTGGTGGGGAATGGTCATGGTTAATGAGTAGGGACTGGTCAGGGTCAAGGGGTGTGGGATGATCAGAGTCTAAAAGTGAAGGATGAATCAAATCAAGGAATTTCAGATAGAGTTTGAGAGATGGGGGATGACCAGGGTCTAGGAGGTAGAAATGTTCAGGGGCTGGGAAGTCAGAGATGGTCAGACTTTGGGAGATGGGGGTGGTCAGAGTGGGGAGGTAGAAACTGATCATTGTCTGGTGAGGGCTGGAGTTAGTAGGAGGGTTGATCAATGTTTATGGTAGGGAACTGCTAGGGTTGGGAGGGTTGGTCAGTGGGAACTGACGGGGACGGGGGGGCGTGTGTACCTTCCCCGGTGACCACGGCAGTTCTGCAGTATTCAGTGGGGTTCTCATCCTGCATGGCCCCTATGGTGTGCCAACCACTCTCAGTGAGCTGGGCATCCTCAATGACCAGCTCTGCTCGCTTGCCCTCATAGATCATGCTGTATACTCTGTGCCAAACTCCAGCCGCTGCCCATTCTTCTGGACAGTGTCACATCCTTGGATGTCAGCTCACACTCAAAGGCATGCTTGGCTCCTCTCTTTCACACATACATTCTTGAGGGTTCTCACAAACTTGATGGGGATGCCTGCGGACAGAGAGACAAATGCTTATGCCTGCTATCAACCTCCTACTCCCCTTTCTGCAGTTTCATGCTGCTTTGTTCCTCTTTGTGGTCCCACTTGTGACTTGTGACATGGAGTGTATCTGTGAGCAACATGTGACCCATGAATGTACCTAGCAGAACCAGGAGAACCCAGTTCTGCCCCTTACTTGCTAGCTGACTGTATTTATTCCATAATAATACAGTTAGCTCTCCATACACGCTGCATTTATTCTCCGAGTCTCCATTTCCGCATATGTGAAATGGGGTAATGACTTTGACCTCTCTGAAGCACTGCAGCTAAGATCTCTAATGCCCCCTTGGGACTCCAGTCACAACTGCATTGTCTCTCTGGTGGCTGGACGCTTACACATGCTGTTCCCTCTCCTCATAATTTCCTGTCCTCTTCCCCTTTTTCTGATACCTGAACTCCTTTTTGTTCCTCTTGGTACATCTTGGACATCACCTCATCGCACCTTTCCTGCCTGCCCGGTGGTGTCCCTTCTTTGGGCTCACACCACCTCTGTCTTTACCTCCACAGCAATGATGATTCTGTGTCACATGTGTCAAGTGTAGTTCAAGTGTAACATGCTTCTTGAGGTATCCACCATCAAGTGCAACTCTCCAGTGAATAGTCAGGAGTGGTATGCTGTACCATAAAGGCTAAAGATTTCTTGGTCCTTGATCTCCCAGCTGATAATAAGACCCCAGTATGTCTTGATTCCTTGGCTTGAGAACTTTTGTTCTAATTTAATTTCTCTCCTCCCTCTCCCACTAATCTAGGAGTTAGTGGAGAGGAGAACCCTCTCTTTCTAGTACCCATCACAGGGCCTTGCAAGGAGGAGATGGAAGGGTGGGTGGATGGATGGATGACTGCCCACATGGAAGTTGCTGTGGCATGAAGCCCCCCCTGCAAGCTCTGGCCCCACCACTCACAGGCAATAGTGAGCTGGGCCTTCTGCACCAGCTCCCCCACCACGGTAGAGAACTCTCCACTATTGATGAGTCTGGCATCCTTAGCCTTAAGTGTATGCGTCAGGCCATCCTCAGACACTGTGATGTCATATTTTTCATCCCTCTTCAGCTCCTTCCCATTGAACTTCCACACAAAGCTGGGCACTTTCTTGGGGAGGCAGATCTCAAACACAGCTGTCTGGTGCTCTCTGACCTTCATCGGCTTCTTCTCTCCCTTGAACTTCAGCGGCTCATGTGCAGCAGAGTAGGAGAAGCTGCCATGGAGCTGGAGGCCTGGTCCCTCCTGAGGGGTGGGATGGTGATGGGCGCATGGAGACTCAGGTATCACCGGCCTCCTGTAGCCCACGGTTGCAGGAAGCACCCTTTTCATTCTGCTCGTGAGCCCTGAAGTCTTTTCTCATCATGTTCCTATGGTCTCCTCCCCACTAATATTAACAGCAATTTTCAAAAGCACTTAAGTAGCTCTAAATATATGCCAGGTGTTCTAGCCAATTTGCACATATTAATGCATCCAATTCCCACACAGGTAGATTCTACTATTATTTGCCATTTTACAGATGGGAATAATACAAAAAGAAGTCAAATAACTTGTTCCAAGTCACACAGCTCATAAATGACAAGCTGGGGTTGGAATCCCAGTGGTGCGACTCCACAGACTGTGCTCTTAACAGCTATGCTACACTGCCCTGCGGCACTTACTCTCTCACAGTCTTCTCCCTTACACCCATGTTTCCCTCCTCTGTTAACTTCCATCCCCAGGCAGTCCTTTCCTGCACAGTCCCACAGTCCTCTCTCCCTTATTCCCATGGACTCCATCCTTGGCTCTGCCTCCCTCCTGGTCCTGCTGTGTCCTCCTTGTGCCCACTGATGCCCACTCATATCGAGCACTGTGAGCTCTGCTCTCATCCACTTGTCACCCACGGATGGGCTGTAGGCACCTGCATCATTCACGTTCACATTGGTAATAACTAGCATGTGCTTGGTGCCCATCTGCTTCACATCGTACTTGCCCAGAGTACTGGATCCCCAGTGGTTCATTACCCTGCCCCATGGAATAGGTAGAAAAACTGATGAAGCGGTTTAGGAGGAGACTTTCAGAGGTCCCCATTCCCTGAGACCAGCTTTAGCTGGAGGGTGACATGTCTAACTTTCTAAGATCCTCAAACATGCCCAGAGGCCCCTAAGATCTCTAGCTTCATTGTCTGGCTCAGTGGGATCCAGGGTCCCTGCCTCCTCCAAGGCCTGAACTCCTAATATGCATGAGTTCTTTAGATGCTTTCTCTTGGAGCCATAGATCATCAGTGACCTTCAGGACTATCTAATCCAGCCTGTTCAGGTGGATAGACTGAGGCACAGACAGAGGAAAATAACTGTCTCAAATCAAACAGCAAAGTGGTGAAATAGCTAAGAACAGAGCCCAGCCAGTTTCCACCATCCCAGGGGGTATCCTTTTGTTGGGACGGAAGCGAGGACATGGATGATGGATAACGGGATGGTCTACAAAGGAAGGGCTGCAGAGAGGAAATGATATTACGAGGGTGGGCCCTGCCATGTGCCCCCCACTTCATCCATATCACATTGACATTGGAGTCCTTCAGCTCCATGATGAAGTCAAAGACCACTGTGGTGTCAATCTTGACCTCTCTGTCTTCCAGGGGCTTCAGAATCTGGGTGGTCTGAGAGATTGTGATAACAAAATGGCAGGTGTCAGCGTAATCTGGAACCTGCTCAGTCTGTGTCCCCAATACTGGAGGAGTCTCCTGAAATGACTAGGCTGATTAGATAGCCATGTCCCCCCAAGCTCCTGCCACTGATCAATTGTAAGATTTAGGGGGAGCCAGATATGATGGAGATGAGAAAGGAACCATTTGCACAACAGTTACTATGTACCTAAGCCCATTACGTAGATTCTCTAATTCCAGTGTAGATGCTTCATAATTATGTGCTGGTTGAGTGGATGAATGGCAATGACAATATAAAAATGAATGAAAGAGGAAAGTATAATTTTCACTTTGCTGATTAGAAACTGAGGTTCAGAGAGGCACCTAAAGTTCACACAGTTAATAAGGTAGTATAACCAGGATCTGAGCCATGTCTGTGTAGCGCCCAAGTCCATGCAAGCACATGAGGGAGTAGTGAAGAGAGGAGAGGTAGAAGGCAGGTGACTTGAGTTCCTTTTCTGCTCTGGCAGCAGGAAGTGTACCTTTGAGTGTGTGTGTGCAGGGTGGGGAGACCTCGCTGCTGGGAGACACACAGGCACTAACACTTGGTGGGGCCCAGCCCCCCGCCTTCAGATCCCTGCCCCCGATCGGCACTGACCTCCACCTCCACTTTCTTCATTTCTTTGAGCTTTTTGAGCAGACCCTGGAAGTCAGTGAAACTGTATTCCATGCAGACCTTCTCAAAGTCCTTCTTGGGCAACTTGGACAAAATCTCCAGCATCTCCTTCTCATTTGTCACCTTCTGCTGCTGCTTCTTGGGAGCAGGAGGTGCCAAGGGGGATGGGGGTACTGAGCGTGGACTTAGTGTCTCCCTCTGAAGGCAGAGGGAGCCTCTCCTAACCTTGAGATTTCCCTCTCCACTGCACGGATTCTGGCTCCTGGGTCACTAGCTCAGGGCTCTTTTGAAAAGCTTCAAGAAGCTCTAGACTGGAGGGTAGGGGCAGCACCTGAGCAGAGGAGCATCCTAGTCTCACCTCTTCTTCAACATCTTTTAGAAATCCATTTTGTCTTGACCTGAGGACAGAGAGAGGGACAGGTTCAGATGGGGGAGTCTGATCCCTAGGAGAAAAAGCCAAGTTAGGGGGTTGGCTCACACTCTGCCACCAGCAAAAACATGGTGTAGATGGTGTCTGCATGTCATTGTTGCAATGCACATCTAGTCATCCGAGGTCAGTGGCTCCAACTGGATAAGACTAAAGCCACTAGAGGTGGGGCGGTGGGGAGGAGGGGACCACAGGGAGATTCTCTGTGAGATGGGGAAAGAGAATGTTTTGGGGACTGTGGGAGGAGCCGAGTATGGGTGTACCTGTGGAGGATGGAGCAGCCTCTAGGATTTGCAGGTACCAGGCTGCAACCAGTGTGAGTGTATATGTTTGTAGCCTGATCCTGTGTTCTTCCTCTTGGCTGTGAGCTCCTGGAAGAGAGAGGCTTCCTCTGATGTCCCTGTAGCTTACCCAGTTTACCTGCAGTTTCTGGCAGTGGGCTGAGTACTACTTCCTTTAACATATATTCAGCCCTGTGTACCAGGCACTGGGCTGATCCCCTGAGGAAACTGGTGAATAAGGCTCCCTTGGTGCCTGAGTATGGCACTTACAGCCCGGTGGGCTCTTGGAAAGTGCTCGTTGAATGAATGGGTTTATGTCAGGGGTGGCCAGTAGGGAGACTCTGCAGCAGCTTGTGTGGGGGGCTCAGGGTCCAACAATGGGATCACTGGGAGGAGAACGAACCAACTTCTGTCCGTAGTGGAGAGGGGAGGTGCTTTGTGTTTCACATTGTGAAGCTGGGGCAAGACCAGTTGGGACAGTAGTTATAGGCCTAGGTATACCAGTAACCCATCCCTGCCTTTCCTCAGAGCGTACAGAAGCTGGTTAGACCCAAGGATGAGGGGCCCTTGGCAAGACTCTTTGGGGAGGCTCCCCCAAGGAGCCCAGGAACCCTGATCCTCACCCCTGCTCTAAGATCAGCACCTCCGCCTGCCTGGCCCGAGCTCAGCCTCACTCCACCCACTAAGGTTCCTGCTCCCTCCTAGCCACATGCACTGCTTTGGTGCTGTGTTCCCTTTGGCCCACTCACCTTCTGGAATGGCTCCTTGTCTTCCACTGGGCCTGCCCCCTCCTTGTTCTGTCTTTGCCCTAGCTCTGCCTTGCCTCACCTCTAACTTTGGACCCCTGTTTACTCTGGCAATGCCTCAGCTCTTGACTCAGCCCCTCTTATCCTGCCCTTGCTCTAGGACAGCGACAGCCTCTCCTCATCGCCCAGTTATTGAGTCCCACTGTGGCTCTCTGGTTCCTGAGAGGACCAGTGTCCACCTTGGGGGGTCCCTGTCCCTGGCCTCATCAGTGACTGGACCTCCCACAGCTTCAGCACGTGCTCCTCGTTAATGCTGTCGTAGATTGGCAGACTCCTTGATGGGGATGCCACTCTCTCTCCCGCAGGACATGCTGGGCTTGGGGTTCCCCTGCACCTGGGCTTGGAACACGGCTTTATCCCCTGCAATGGGCAAAGGATGTATGTTCGCCTCTTAGGCTCCAGGCTGGACCTCCTACCTGCTCCCTGCCACCTCCCAGGGGTCTCACCCTGTCCCCTGGGCAGGGGAGGGTTCCTCGGTCTGGTTTTGCCAGTGTTTATGTTCTGGGGGATAGGAGTGGTGGTGGTGAAGGCTGGGCCCTGGAGAAGACAGAGAAGCACCCAGGGACCTGGGGAGACACAGGGAGCACCGCACCCTTTGTTGCAGTGTCTGGTTGAGGCTTCTCCACAAACTCTGGGAGTCTCTCTCCTGCAGGGGTGTCAGAACTTCAGGTCACCAGGCTGAAGAACTCTACAGTGCTTGAGGACTTTCTCAACACAACTTCTGTGGTAGCAGGCGAGAGGTCAGAATGGGCTCCACTTGGAGGTCAGCCCGGCATTGGAGGGCTGACCTTTTCTTGAGTGGTTTAGGGGAGTGCGGGCAGCACCAGCTTTGGCTAAGAAAAGAGGACTGCAGAGTCGTGGGTCATTGTGTTATGGCCAATATCAACCACCGGGGGGAGCCAACTCCCCTCCTACCCATCAAAGGTCAATCTAGTGTACTGGGCCACAGACCGGCATCCAATTTGTTTTCTGTCCTCTTATAAAAGGAGACTTCTCTTTAGGGAGTTTCTCAATCCCTTGGCCTTCTCTCCTGGCAGTCCTGCCTCCCAGGAGCATTAGGAGGGAACCTGTCCTACTGCTGCTTGGTGCCTGGTAGCTTAGCTGAGCTCTGCTGTAGGCCTTTCTCCCACCCTTCTGTGGGTTCAGCATTCATTGCCATGGGGGTAGTGATTCTTGAGTGAGGGGCAGGAAATATTCCTGCTCCAGCGGGGCTATATATGGGAATCTCCTTTTCTGAAAGAGCATATTCAATATGGTAGTGTAATTTTATGTTTGGAAAACAAAAGTATTTTTAGTATTAACTACAGAAAATTTTGTTGGCTGATGCGTTAACACTTAATATAATTGCTCTAATTCATGAGGCACTTTTCTTGTGTCAGAAACTGTGCTAAGCACATTTCAAAGATAATTTAATTTAATCCTCATAACACCCCAGTGAACCAGAAGCCTGTATTATCCTCACTAACCTGAAGGACTAAGATGCGAAAAATGTGTAAGGGAGCTGTGTGGCCTGCTTTTAAATAGTCACCAGAGGTCAAACAAGCAGTGTGCAGGTTGCACCCAGCATGCAGATGGGTTTTATTTGATCTCTGCAATGTTCAGAGTAACTCTACGTCTAAAAATCTAGAGAGTTCAAATGAAAATTCAGATTTCTGGATTCTCAACACTGGCCCCGCATTCCCATATGGTAATAATCAGTGGGAGGTGAATAGTGGCTGCCCCCTTAGATGGGGTATGTCCTTTCCAGTTCACCTCGGTTTTTTTCCCGCATTTATGTTCCCTGCCTGGGCTCTGTTAGCCCATGGCTGTCAACTCTTGCTGCCTATTAGCATCTCCAGAAAGCTTAAAAAGAAAACCCCGAACACCTGATTTAATGCGGGACACTTGGGTATGGCTCTTTTTGCTACTCTTCTCCCTCCTTCCCCTACACTCAGATGCCTCTAATGTGTGGCCCGGGCTGAGAATCACTGCTGTAATCACTTGTTTGCAACTTCTGGTCCTGAGTTCTGGCTCTTCACTCGCTCTGCCTCACTAACCAGGAGAGGTTTGTATATAGTGTCTCTGGCCTTGACCTCTGTGCACAGAGGACTTGGAGGGACAATGGCCCGGAGGACTGGCCCCCTGCCATCTTTTAATCACTCTCCACTAGAGACATTACCCAACAATGTGTTTTCTGAGACATCTCTCAGCTTTCTGTCTGACCTCCGCCAGGTCTGGTCCCTGAAGGTTCAGTCGGGAAGCTTAGGCCTCTTGTTGTTGCATTCATGCTCTCTCCACTGGAGCTCCAGGTCTCCCGTATCTTACATGGAGCAGGGTCTGTGTTACTCATCGGTCGGTAAGGTAGCTATCTCCCTAGCTCCTCTGTGCCCGAAATCTTCCCATCACAATGAAGTGTATTGGCCCTTGGCTCTGGTCTCCTCAAGCAGTTAAGCTCATCAATCATTCACACCCACCCATGTGACTGATTTTTTCAAAGCTGTTTTCTTGGAGATCTGATCTGTGAGTGAATATTCGGCTGGCTGATGCTTCATCAAAGCACAAATTAGAAGCCTAGGTTGGGAAAGCATTGCTCTTTGTATCTGGGGCTCCTGAGGGGCTCAGGAGTGGCAAAGACTGAGTCCACCCAGGGGTTAGATGTGGAGGAAGAAAGGCTGTCCCATCATGCCCTCCTGCCCCTGTCCCACTCTACTTGTATCCCGTGATCTTGGTTGTGGGAGAAGGTGTGCATGTGGGCGGTGGAGAGCTCCATGGACACGTGCTTCTGCATCTGCTTGTGGTGAATGGTCGCCATGGTGACAGCAGGCGTGGGCACACACCTGGGAGGACCAGGGAGAGGAGGCCATAGACGACAAGAAAGGGAGTAGGAGGGAGGTTAAGAGAGATTTTTATGTGTGTGTGTGGAGGGGGGGAAAGGGACAGGGCAGGTGGACACAAGGGGAGATGGCGGTGCACGGAAGAGGGTGAATGGGGGTCGGGCAGCAAGCCTTGTCTCTCTGGTCTCTCTTTCCTCCTTTTCCCAGGCTGATTAAAGGACTAATGAGCCTATCCCCTATGGAGTAACCACAAACCATTCCAGGTTCTTGGAGGAGGATGTAAGGCTTAGAGTCACCCTGCTATCTGTTAAGGCCCAGAGGGAGTTGGGGATATCTGTGGATAGCTTCACGGAACCAGGGAGGCAGGACTGGAGGTTTCCTCAGGTGGGAATGAAGTCAGACCTAAGAAGGGACTTCCTGACTAAGCCATACTGGAGTGAGCCTTGGAAGGAAGCTGCAGATTTTTCTCCCAGGCCCCAGGGGCCTCTGGCATTAGTGGACCGCTAAGGCCAACGACAGCACATTTCTATAGGTCTGCTTTGGTCTGTGACATCCTAAAGAGAGAGGTGGAGTTACTTATACTTTGTTTTTGAGTCAGTAATTCTGTCATAGTTAAAAAAACAATTAAACCATGTAAAAAATATGTATGTGAGAAGGCTCCCTCCTGCTCCTGAGCGCCCCCTCTCTAGACTACTTCTGAAGCTCCTTCATGCAAATAGGGGTGTTTGTATACTCATCCCTTTTATTACAGATGCGGTAGCCTATCATACACACTATTCAGCCGCCTTCTTTATTTACTACATCTTGGAGATATCGCCATACCCATTCACAGTCTTCTCATTCCTGTTAACAGTGACACAGTATTTCAATGAATGGATGTACCTCTTAATGAGCCTGGCAGTTTTAAAACCCCTATTTTGTATATGAGGAAACTGATGTCTGAGAGAAATAACCTGTCCAAGGTCAGACTGGAATATTGGCCTCTTGGCTCCCAGTCCAGTGCCCTTCCAATGGACCCTAAAACCTTGTTTGAACCAGGTGGTTTGAGGCTTAACCTTATCTCCCCCCCATGATAGATCTCTGCCTGGCCTACCTCTGTCTGTGGGTTCTGGGACTCTCCCCCCAAATGCGGTCTCTGCTGTTCCCTTCTGGGCTCAGAAGATAGCAGCCTCTGCCCCCTTCCTGAGGGAAGAGGGAAGCCTTACCTCGGCATGACCTGTCCCTCCTAGTCCTTGAGTGCTGGGTCCACGGCCATGCAGGTGCATGTAGTGCCTGGGGTAGACTGGCCAGTCTCCTTCCTTTGCCTGGACAGTGGGGCTACCAGGAGTCATCCAGGAGTTTTCTTAAATGCCTGGCCACCTAGAGGAGACTCCTTACTTGGGTTCCACAGCTGTCTCAGCTAGGTGGCACACTGCTTTGGTGGGGCAGGAGAGTGGAGAAGAAGTGAGGCTGGAGCCAGTCCTGGAGGAAATGCTCAGGTCAGCAGGCAGGGGGATGAGGGTGGTGGCCCAGGGATCTTTTTCCTGTTTCTCTGTGGGGAACAGGGGCTTGGTTCTTACTGCTGCTGGGTGAGCCCTTTCTGAGGGGCTCAGGGTAGCATGTGTTGTGTGTGTGTATGTGTGTGTGTGTACATACACACGCACATACATGTGCACACACAGCCCAGTGGGTGGGTCAAGCAGGGAAGCCATTGTGTTCAGACACAGGGGGCATGATTCATGGCATACTGTGTGTGTGGTGCCTGCACAGTCTGAGTGGCCTCACAGGCCCACCCAGTAGGAGAGAGACACGTGAGCTCTCTTCCCCACTTCCCACTCCTGTAGCCCAATCCCCTGATCTGAGTAGAAGGGTAGGGGGGCCCATCTTCCTGTGAGAGGGTGGCTGGGGGGCATGTCCTCCTTCTCTGGTGCCCCATCCCAGCTGCTCAAGCCACTCCCTGTTCTTCCCTCATTGCCTGTGCACACCTGCGTGCCTGAACCCTCCCTTGGCTCACATGGGATCTGGTATCTTGTAAGGTCTGCTGGTTGGTCAGCAGTTCTGCCCTGGAGTGACCCCTGCCTGCCAGCAGTGGCACCACAGCTACTTTTGCTGCATCCCTGGGGGCCTGGGTAAGAATAGAGCAGGAGTTACAGACCCTCTCAGGATCTGAGCCCCCAGGCAGAATCCTTGGGCCCCTTGGGAGGGGCTACTCTTAACCCAGACCTTACAAGCAAAATTGCCAGGTTGCAGTTTGGGGACTTATAGGGACAACAGGGAGGGGCCTGGGTGTGACCTGAATGTCCCTCTGTCCCTGCTTGGCCTCTTTGGCCCATTTGTTGGAGTTGGTCACCTGCCAGCCACTTGGCCTTCTCTGGAAGCCTCCCACACCTGTCCCTGAGGCGTCCTATGGCCCAAGAGCCAGGCTGGGTGGTGGTGGGGGGAGGGTGTGTGAGAATCCTGTTGCATGAACTTGGCTTTCCAAGTCAGGATCTGCCTCATAGTCCCAATGCCCACAAAGGGGTGCTAGAGAGCTTGGGGGCCAAGCTGTGTGCAGGAGCCTGTGTACTACGAGGAGGCTCAGGAAGACCAGAGCACAGGGAGGCAGGGAGCGGAGGAAAGAGACAATCACACAGATCCAGAGGCTAGTTTTGCTCAAAATGCTCCATTTATTGCTCTATTCAATGACCACGAGCAAATTATAAACAGACACCAAATGTCTCTGTCTGCCGTGGAATAAATATTTAAAGTCAGCAATAAAAACATGTGGCTCCGAGATAACACACGTTGCCAGAATCATGCATGCCCTGCTGACGGGCTCTCTACACACGCATGGACACAGGAACACACACAGAACTACACACAGTGAGACTTCTGGGAAGGCCTTCCCACAGTGACGCAGAAAAATGTTTTGCACAGATCTGGGGCTAAGTCCCCACCCTCCCCGCAGAGCTCCCCTTCTCCCACGCCTGCCGGGCCCAGGTCCCCTGGGTTCATGGCCCCCATCTGTCCCCTTTCTCCCCAGTGCCTCTCATGCTGGCCACTGCCTCCTGAAGGCATCTGATACCAAGAGGCCAGCCTGGCTGCAATACTGCTTCCCCTGACCCCAACCCAGAGACCTCTGCCCCAGCTGAGATCTCTCTGCCAACCTCTCAGGAGCTCCCCATGCTGGTCCCAATAACAGGGCAAAATGCAATCTGTCTGTTGGAAGAAGTGGGGGTGGGGGCCCCAGGCAGGCACTTCTGCCTGGGCTACTTAGGGGCTGGAGCTCAATTACCCCTTTCCTGGGCTGAGGAGACACAGTGTCCGGTACAGATAGCAGAGATGGATGAACAGACAGAACACCTTGTGGCAAGACAACTGGGGGCGGCATGGAAATGTTCTGCATGGAGTAGCAGTGGAACTGTTGTTAAAAACTGAGGCCCCAGGTCTGCATGGTGTGGGTCATGCCCTGGTGCCCCAGGCCTGGCCTGGCACATCCCTCCCCGACCCTGCCCCTCTCCCCAGTATGTACAGTAGGAAGAGCTATGTTGGGGGGCAGGGGCCAGGCCAAGGCTGCTGGAGGAGGGAGGGAGCACTGCAGAGAAGGAAGCAGGGGGCCAGGGGCAGGGAGCAGGCCAGGACCCAAGGCAAGGCCTAGACTCAGGCAGGGTGGTGCCAAGAGGACCCCAGGGGAGGGGCGCAGTCACTCCGGGGACTGGCGGGACAGCTGCTTCTCGTAGAGGCTCATGACATGGTGCACAAACTGGTATTGCTCGCATGTCTGGATCATGCCGCCCCTGCCCGGCAGAGACGCACAGTGGAGGTGGGGTTGTGGAGGGATGGGTTGCAGGAGGCGCCCCCAAGTCCATGAGTACCGATCATTTGTGAGTGGCCTTGCCTTTGTGTAGCCTGGTCAGGCCAACCTTTGCCTGCCACTCCCCTCTGCTCCTTCTTGTCCTCCCAGTTTTGGCAAAGATAGCAGGACAGAGATGACATACCCTGCCACTCTCAGCCCTATCCTGCCCACCAGCGCTGTTGCCCTTCCCTTTTCATCCAGCCACCAACAGTCCGGATCTAGCCCCTCTACCCATCTGTCCTCCCCACTCCCTATTTGCCAGTCATCCATACCTTGTGTGCCCCCCTGCCCCTCACCTCATGCACGCATGTCTCTCTCCCTGCTGCCCTGGGGCTCTCACTCCCCATGTGTTCCACCTCCACCCATGGGCTGACCTGTCCTGACGGAGCTGGCAGGTGGTCTTCAGGATGTCCACCACACCCTCCTGCCGCAGCTGCTGGCAGCACATGCTGGTGGCAATGAAGCAGCCGGTCCTCCCAATCCCTGCACTGAGGGCAGAGAGGATAGGCAGGGTGAGGAGTGGGGCAGCCCTTGGCAGGGAGAGGCTGTGCTGCCCTAGTGGGTGGCCAGGATGACCCACCTGCAGTGGACAACAATGGGAGCACAGTGGGGTCCCTCCTGCTGGGCTGCCTCCTCCACCTCCTGCACCAGATGCAGGAGTGGTGGGGCCCGGTCTGGGGTCTTCTGGTCGGGCCAGGAGGTGAACCAGTAATGCTTCAGGCCTCGCTCTTCAATCCCACTCTGTTCAGGAGACAGAGACCCGCCCCAGATACATGTGAACTCTTTGAGCCCACAAACCAGCTCAGACATGGAGCTGGGATGGGAGGAGGAAGGACACAGGAGGGAGGACACAGAGGGTGGGATCAATGGCCTCTGGTATCCACGCCATCTGCCCAGTGGCACCAGACAGAGACTCAGAGCCAGTCTTGTAGTGAAGGCTGAACAGTGGCATCGGCATTCACATCAGTTCTGCCGCAGCAACTCCAGGATCATCTGAGGCAAAGATTCCCTCCTCCAGTTCATGCCTGTCTCCTGGGTCCTCATTTTAACAAACAGCCCTGGTACCCATCAGTCACATGACCCAGGGCCCCAGGACTCTAATCTCATCACTATGTTTTGCCTGCCCCAATCCCCCCATGTTGCTCGTTTTCCTTTCTCTCCATCCCACCACCTCCCTTTGGCCTTTACCATCTCTCCACGGTGCAAGGCCTCTCCCTCCTCCCCGACTGCCCATCTCCACAGTGATCAAGATGGCCTGTCTGCACCATAGACCTGGAATGCTGCCCCCCTGCTCAGAACCTTTTGATGGTTCTCAATGCTCTCTGAACAAAACCCATTCTCCTTAGACATCAGCCTGGCAAATAAGACACATGGGACAGGGTCCACCTCTCTAGGTTCCTTCCTTCTCCTGCATACTGGTCCTCAATGCTCCTGCAGTCCAAATGGTTTACAGATAAAACCTCTGCTACACACACACAGCTGTTCCATCTTCCATGCCCTTCCTTTCACTTTCTTCTCTGCCTGGAATACTCTCCCCATTTGTCTGTCCCCTGGCCAACTCTTACTCATCCTTCAAAACCCCATTCAGCATCCCTGCTTCCAGGAAGCCATCCTGAAGCACCCCAGCTGGTAACCTTCTGTGTTCTTACCTATCTCTGGGTTAGAACTTACCATTGTATGGGTGCTCCTTGGAGAGAGAGTCCAGGCTTTGGACAGTTCTGTATTCTCAGTACTCAACCCGGAAGCAGGCCCAGGGCAGGTGCTTGTAAAGGCTTATGGACAGCAGTAAATACCCCTAAGCTGCTCTGGTTCTTCCCTAACCAGTCTGGTACTGACAAGATGAGGCATCCCCACCTCACCTCAGCTTCTCTTTCTGGGGAAGCAGGAAGCTGGCTCCTTGGGCTCTCTGGCTGTGACAGGTACCAGTGCCTCCTCTCTCTCCTACCTGGCCCTTCATGCCCTCCACAAGGCCTGCATCTTGGAGCTGCTCAGGTGTGCACTGCCCTCTGGGGGCTGAGTGCTGCCTGACACTCCACCTTGAACCTCCTCCAGTGGTAGGCGGTGAGCTCAGAGGGACAAGTCTCAGGCCTCGAGCTGGTCCCTGTGGCTGCCAGCATCAGCGGGCTTCAGGCTGTTTCTGGATAAGGAGTCAGCTTCCTGGTGCCTGACTTCCCTCTTCCAGCCTTGGGGTTATTATAGTGGGCTCCACCTTCTCCAAACATGGGTTTTATCTTTTCTCAAAAACAGAACCCACTAATCCTCCCTTTTCCAAACGAACAATCTCCTCTGTTATGCTGAGCCTGGGAGAAGCACAACTTCAGGGTGGGAGGATACCTTCCCCCTACTCTTCTGGGCTGTTTTGTATTGCTCATATTTTATGTCTTTTCCCCCACCTTTTTCTGTAACCACAACCGCTCCGTGCAACCATATACAGCAAGAAGAACTCTCCCTCTGGTGGGAAGGGTGCGTACTACAGGCCAGAAGCTCAGCATCCCAGGTAAAGGGCTGTTTTCTAGGTGGGATCTCAAAGTCACAATGGATCTGCAGTTACAAGGACAGTGCTGGACGCTGTTGGAGACCCCTTATCCAGACATTCCTGGACTTGGGTGCATTTGAAACAGAGGTGGAAGGCATTATGAATGATACTTTAGACAGAAAGACAGCCCAACAGCATGAGCAGGTTTTGGTCCTGTCCCTGGTCCCCCAGTACATTCACCCCTCATCCCTGCTTATCAGTGAATCCTGGGAGTGATACAGGCCTTGAGTTCAGCTACAGTAGACCCTGAGGCCCTGTTATCTGTGGAGTCAGTCAAGTCCCTGTCCCTCATCCTCACAGCCCAGCTCAGCCCAGCCCCAGGCCTCACCCTGAGGGAGATGAGTCGCAGCCGGTAATCCTCAGTGTGAATGACTTTCCGCACAGTGATCTCCACACCGTCGTACACCACCTGCTCCTCCGGCCAATACTCGGTGCACTTCTGCAGGGGCCCAGACCAGGCTGCAACACACTCCCAGTCCCCCAACCAAACGCTCCCCAGGGCCCCTCCAGGGCCAGCAGGGAGAGAGATAAAAGGGCAACAGGATTGCAGTTAGAGTGTTGGATTCAAATCTCAGCTTTATAACCTGTAAGTTACTTCCATTTTCTGAGCCTCAGTTTCCTCATCTGGAAAATGGAAGTGATACACATTCTGAAGGACTTCTAGGAATTCAGTGAAATGGGCTATTCTGGGTATAGAAATAGCCAGGGTCATCCTTGCATACAGAGGCAGCAGAGTATGCTGATTAAGATCATGGGCACTGCAGGCGGAGAGGCCAGATCCGGACTCTGCCTCTGAATTATTATGTGTGTGGTCCTGAGCAAATGTACCTCACATTTCCTCACGTTGGAGCTTCACAAGATTGTGGTAAGGATTAACATGGAAACAAGACGCTCGGGCCCAAAGCAGCAGAAGACACCTGGTAACAATACAGGGGTGCCTACCTCATTCATTTCCTCAATGTTGGTGATCATGACAATGATAGGCGTGTGCTCTTGCCACACCATGCGCCAGAAGTCGCCAACTGTGCTGACAATGGGTCCCTGAGTGGCGATGTACACCTTCTCCTCCCCACCATAGCCCTGTAGGCAGCCAAGTCCAGCTGTCAGGGTCAGACACAGTGCTCCCACAGCCCAGTCCGCACACTGGGGTCCTTCCTAGGGGGGTGTCAGAAGCCACAGTGGCTTCCGGACAAGCCTGGAGGATGGATTTCATCCGCTTAGGCTTCCCTTTTACAGAAAGACTGCCAGGATGGGGCTACGTACCCGGATGTAGTTGGCGTTGATGTAGGAACTCAGAGGGTCATCAGGGTCTGGTGAGGTCAGACACACTCTGCTGTGGGGGTCTGGGGTGGGAGGAAACAGGTGAGGCTGGGGTTTGACATGCGCAATCCCTCTGGTGCAGGGTCCACATTGTCTGGCCCATTTCAGGACACCCACATGTCTTCTGGGACTCTCATAGTTCTTTTGTGTCTTGCCCAGTAGCATAACACTGGCCCATCCTCATGGCCCACTCAGGCAGGGGAGGGTCCAGGCTGAAGAGGGGGGTAGACAGGCGCTGGATCTCCACCTCAGTTTCATCCATGCCTGCCTCTTGCCTGTGTCCCTTACTCTGCCTTGTACTCACTGTGCCTCATGTTCTGGAGAGGAGAAAGCTACGACAGGAATCAGCTAGCGTACACATCCTGGACAGCAGGGGCAGCAAGAGTTTGAGTATATACCATCACTGACTTGCTGTGTATGCTCGGAAAGCACATGGCCTTCGTAAGCCTCAGTTTTCCTATCTGTAATTTGGGAGTAAAGAAGCCTACTTCCTAGGATTATCGGGAAGATACATGAGAACCACCATGGGAATGGGAATGGTACTGACCCCACTGAGCACAGCCTCCGTGCCTGGCACTGTGTTTGAGGGTAGAGACTCCTAGATAAACAATATGTGGTCCCTGCTCCCCAGCATTGGGCAGAAGACTAGCAGTGTGTGGTCTGAGAGCACTGGGGCTGAGCGAACAGAAGGGGCCCTTGAGTGGTTAGGCTTCCTGGAAGAGGGGACATCTGGGCTGGGTTTAAGGTCCAGTAGGAGGAGGAGTAGGGGACACCAGGGCACAGAGCAGGGTGGAAGTTGGTGAGAGATGAGCTAGAGAGAAGCCACTTGACAAAGGGTCTTACAAACCATGCTTATAAGGCTGGACCTAAACCTGAGGATTACAAGGGTGATGACAGTGTTTAAGGAGAATGACATGATTGGCTTTCTGTTTTGCATCAGTTTTGTGACAATGTAGAAGACGGATAGGAGGGGAGAATGTGGAAGCCAGGCCATTTGGGAGATTGCTGCCTTGATTCAAGTAAGAAATGTTAGGGGTCCTGGGGCTGCCCCAATTGGCACAACTCTAGGGGGTGTTCTGTCAATGCAGTCTATGTACATGGTACCCCTGGAATGGGACGACATAGAAGCACTGACCCCAAACAAGTCAGTTTTCAGTGAGGAGAGGGAAAGTTAGACTTGAGAGTGTTTCATCCACTCACTCACTGAAGTAGGAGCAGAGTGTCTACTATGTGCCATTTGCACTTGGGACACAGTGGCAAAGGGCAGAAACTGCTCCCCTGCATCTTGCCCTCAGGGCTGCCCGCCAGGTCACGGGCCACTCTACTATAACTGCCTGCAGTTCTGTCTCTTCTCTTAGACTGTAGGCTCCCTGTGCATGGAGTCTGTGTTTCATTCACGTCTGAATTCTTAGGTCCTGGGGCAGGGGCTTAGGAAAAGTACACTGAATGAGTGAGAGAACAAACCTCAGGGTGTTCTGGATCAGAAAGGCTTCTGACAAATCAGACCTGCCCTCTGTCACCTCCCCTGACCCATCCCCATCTCTGAGGCCACAATGGTCAAGTCTTGCTAGCCATGGAGAAGATTCTCTGTTGGGCTTGGGGACCTGGAGGCAGAGGGCACAGTTAGAAGTGGCTCAAGGCCTCTTAGCAATCCAGCGGGGACCAGGTGGAGTGGTGGCCAGGCTCCCACTCTCCCCAGGAGCCATTCTGAGTGGCCAGCAAAGCCCTGGGGTGCTCGACCCGCTCCCTCTGGGGGGTGGGGGGTGGGGGGTGGAGGGGGCAAGATGAGGGAAGAGGTGAGCATCCCTGAATAATGCATCCGGCCTTAAATGGTGCTTTGTTTAACCGAAACTACCTAGAGACTGTGTAACCATAGCAACCACAAGTCGATATTTTAAAAGTTAAAAATAAGTCATGACATCTTACATGTTGTTGGAGATGCTGATAGCAAAACTGCTTTTTTAAAGCCTCATTACTCCATCAGCTGAGCAGAGTAGGTCTGTGGGGATTCACTTTCAGCAAGTTACCCCCTAAGCTAGCCCTGGGGCCTGGGGCCAGAACTTGGTAGGGGTGACAGGCACACAGGGGCCTGATGGAAGCTACCTGAGAATGACACCCCAGGGCAGAAGGAGGAGCATTAGGTCACCTGGTCTGCCTGCCTCCAAAGGGGAAAATCCCTCTCAGACCTCCCCAGGAACTGCTTTAAGGCCTTGAGTGACGGGGTGCTCGTGGGGTGGCTCTGCCTGTGGGAGGGCTCACAATCCAACCACACTGAACTCAAGGCAGACAAAGGAGCCCGATGCTGGGGTCAGAGAGGCCTGGTTTAAAACTCAGTTTTGTACTTCCTGGCTGTGTGACTGTGGATGAGCCACTTACCCTCTCTGAGCCTTAATTTCCTCTCCCTAAAATCTGCCCTGAAGATCTCTGAAGAGATCTTCTGCTCTGAAGAGATAAAGGATGTGAAAATAGTTCAGGCACCACGCACGGTCTAGGAGCTGCCGTTATGGTCATTGTTTCTCTCTGGGTTTCCAGATAGCCCAGCCAGGCACTGGCAAGGGCAACATTTTGCAGAGTGCCACGTGAGGGAACGAACAAACATTTGCCCTCACCCAGGCTGTTTTCCTTCACTGGGCAACCCCCAACCCTGCCCCAGTTCTCCATCCCTTCTTTGTATGACCCTGAGGCCCAGCTGTGGAATGAGGTCTTCCTCAGAGTGAGGGGGCACCTAGGTGAGGGAAAGTCGACTCCTGCCGCCGGGACAGTGAGTACTCACTCGGAAGGATGGTTTTGTACCGGTTCTTCCGCACCAGCCCAGGGATATCATATTCTTTTGGATCCACAAAGTTCATGGGGATTTCCTGCAAGAGGACATGGACGTGGCTGGCTCTCATGGATGTCTAAACCCAGAGGCCACTGTGCCCCTAACTTCTAGTCCAGGGGTTTGCTTGAATGCATGCATTCATTCAACAAATATTTACTATTAAGTGAGTGAGTGCACATAAAAAGCGTTTAGAACAGTACCTGGCACATGCTGAGTGCGTAACAAATGTTATCATGACTCTTGTTTACTGAGCCTGGCACGCAGTTGATAGTCAATAAATGGTGAACAATGAAGAAGAGAAAAGCAACCTGGCTGATCACGGTCTCATCCACACTCCCTGTACTGCGATCAAGTGGAGAGGCTTTGCTCACCTGTGCTCCTGCCCTGGACATCCCCACCTCAGGACCCTGTGTTGTGCTTCCTGCTTTGTGGTAACATCCACTCTCATCCTCATCTTTCCCTGCCCTGTCCATTTCAAACACCACCTTCTCCGAGAAGCCTTCCCTGATCCTCCAGCAGGAAGAAGCCTCCTTCTGAGCTCCCGGAGCTGTATTTTGCACTTGCCAGTGACTCTCTGTCAGCATTTCCCACTCCAAACTTCTCTGCCTGGCATGTGAGGTTGTCTTGGATCTGCCTTTTCTTTACCACCAGCTGCCCTCAGGCAACCCGCTCTCCAGTTCTTCTGGTCTCTTCCCTGCGGCCGCCCTGCCAGTCCCATCTCTCCAAACAGTTGCCACCTTTAAGGCTCAACTCTAGCTGCACCCCAAACTCCATGTCCTCTGGGGTGACTCCCCACTGCCTCTCGCTTCCTCACTCCCCTTCCAGCTGTCCAGGTGAGGGCTGGCCAGACAGTTGTAGTGTTCATTGTCTGGGGACATACTGATTATGGGCTTTGTGAAACGAGGATCATAATATCTCCTTCTAGGGTTGTCAAAATAAAAAAAAAACCTGTACAGAAGTGCCATGGAGGGGATGTGCAGACCATATTTGTTTTTCTCTGGGCATAATTGACAATGATCTACTGACAGAGAGGATGCAAGCCCTTTCCTCAAGGGGAGGTGATGGCGAAGGGAACTCGGAGTGGGAGCTGAGGCTGGGGTGGTTAAGGCAGGCTTTCTAGAAACACCCAGTTAGGGCACAGGAAGAGAAAGGCATGGGTGAGAGGGTTGGCAGGGGTGAGGGCATAAGGTCAGAAAAGGAGGCTGGGGCTGGCCCAACTCCAATAGGGCAGGCTGTGCTGAGTTCTGGAGAATCTGCAGGTGTTCTCAGAGGGCAGAGAAACCTGGTACACATAGGGGCCAAGGCATGGGCGAGGGGAGATGGGAGGATAGCACAGGGCGCCCCCCGTCCCTCTGGCTTCTCTCAGGAGGGACTCTCGCAAAATACACATGGTCTTTCACCCATTCCTGCCCACACAGGTAGGCAAGTTACCTGATGGGTCAGTTTGACTGAGGAATGGGCTTTTGGCCCCAGCCCCTTCCTTCCTCCTCCCTTAAGGCCCTCCTGCCCTGAAAGAATTACAGGGGTGCTCCATGGGGTTCTGATGTGCCAGCACCGCCTGGGGTGGGTGGGAAGGTTTGTTAATTCTGGGGTCGGTATTAGTAAGCTCACTATGGCTATGGCTACATACACAAGTCGCATTTCAAACCTGTATCAACAAAAATAGAGGCAATATTGTGATCTGTGTCTTAGCTAATAACTGGTGGAGTGCTCAGGCAGGTAAAACAGAGGTGCCATTTATGGGGCTCCGCAAAGTCCAACAGGAGCCAGCGGAGGCTGCTGCAGAGGTCTAGGGGGAGGACCTTAGAACCAGCCAAAACCCAAACCACAGGGGTGAAAAGAGGAGGAGCCTGGAGAAACTTCAAAGGAGGCTAAACAATGCTTGGTGATGCTGGGCAGCGGGAGGGTGGGAAAGCAGGAGAATCAGAAGAGAAGGCTCCCCATGACTTTTCAAAGCACAGTGTGGCTGATGAAGACTGCGGGACACCACTTATGCCCATCATCCGGTTGGGCACACTGCACGTTATTAATCTCGAATTCTTGCCACATTCCTATTATTTTTATCCCAGTTTTCCAGATGAGGAAACTGAGGCTCAGAGGGGAAACAGCTTGCCCAAGACAGTGGGACAGCTACCAGGTGCTGAGCTCTGGGTGCGCTGCTCTGCTGCCCTGCTAGTTGGGTGATTAATGTGAGCAGAAAGGTCTGCCCACCGAGGGGTGGCTGGCTCAGGGGGACTCACAAAGAATTCTGCCTGCAGCAGGAACGGATCCAGGGCCTTTTCATGAAGCTCCTTGGCCTGGAGGACACGGGAGGCACTGAGCAGATACTCATGGGCCAACTCCTCACGTGGGGACATGAGGTAGCCGAAGCCTTCTTCGTTACAGCCTGGTGTGCACATGTCTAGGGTCAGGGAGACGTTGGAACCCCTCCTGGAAGGATGGAGAAAAGGGGAATTTGTCTCAGTGGGCAGGGAAGGCATCAGCTCGGGGCCTTAGAGCCACAGGAGATGAGGGGTGGAAACAGGGTGGGCCCCAGTAAGTGGAGGAGTGTCAGCATCCCTGACATAGTCTCAGCCCGGAGGCTTGGGTCTGACTCCCTGTCTCCTGCCTCCTGCAGTAGAGTAGCTGAGGCATGGCTCGGCGGCCCTGTTCCAAAGGTTCCATCTGAGGCAACTACAGCACAGCCTTCCCTGGTCTCTCCTCTGCCACTGCTGGAAGCAGCTGCCAGCCCTCGGTCCCCAGGAAGCTCACAGAGAGAGAGGGCCTAGTGCAGAAGCAGGGCTTGACCCTCTGTATCACAGGTATGGGCCTGGCAGCCCGAGGATGAGGCTGCCAATGAGTCAAGAACGTCTCACCCAGGAGAGGCCGGGACCTCCGCTGTCAGGGAAAGGGGGAGGTCAAGGGGCTGCCGGGTGGCAGCAAGGATGTCTACGCTGGACAAGCTCTTCTGTGTCTAAAGGCAAAGGACAGGAAGGGCCCCCCATTATACAGAATGGAAACTGAGCTCCAGAGAGGGGACAAGAATTGCCTAAGCTCACAGGGTAAGGGGATGGCAGAGCTGACACAAAAAGATTTTGTTTTTCTGTCTCCTCATCCTGTGCTCTTGCCATGATATGGGGGTAACTCCGATCTGGTGTGATCTGGTTTATCTAGTTAAGCTCTGAAAAGAGGGCATTGACATCTCCCAAAATGTGCTATGTGGAACAGTATGAGACACTCTGTAAGTAGGGTTCTGTGGTCAAGTGACTCTGAGGAATGCACACACTACCTCCTTGCTGATTTACATTAACACAAGCATGTTAAAGGCCCTGACAAGTCCTGCAGTAAAGAAACCTACCCAAGCCTGAGCACAGGAGTGTATTGTGAGGGTTCATGTGCATATACTGTGTATGTCTTTGTGCTGGTGTAACAGTAGTTCTCAGCATTCACCTTGAGAAGTTCTAATATGTGAATATGTTCTAATATGTGGCTAAGCTATGAGACTAGCTGTGTTCTGGGCCCTGGGAGTGAGAGTCAGGCATCTGCTCTTCTGATCAGGAGCTGAGAGCTCAAGGGCCCATAGAGCCCACCCCTCCTCCACCCCTCCCACCTCTCCTGCAGACCCATGGACTTGACGGTCAGTGAGGTGGGGTCGGCCTCAGGCTTGATGTCCATCACACAGTCAAACACAGGAGTCTCAGGGACGGCGTCCAGGTCCAGGAAGTCATCCTCAGCCTTCTCCTCCATCCACTCCGAGTAGGTGAAGGAGGGCTGGCGGCTCACCGACTGGCGCCTGTCCTCGGGGGCCTGTGGAGTGGCTTGCTCTTGGGGGGCCCTCAGGAGGTGCCACACCTGGTTGGGGGCATATGGCACCATGGACCTAGGACCATGTCACCGGGCCCCTGGGTGATGGGGTACCCATGAGATTGTGCCCCTGCCCCTCAATGTGTCTAGAGAAGCTCTGCTCTCCTGGGAACTATCTACACAGCACTGTCCCTTGCCTAGATGGGAGGCTCCACCCTGTCTGCCCTCCCTGCCCCCTTTCTCCCCTGGACCCTCAATTTCTTGCAGATTGAGGTCTTCTTGGTGGGGTATGGAGTCTCCCACACTAGTCTTCTCTCCGCCTCAGCCCCTTTCCCAGCCTAGAACACTGCACACTGATTTTCAGGAAGAAGGTGCCTCTCACCCCAGCCTGGGCATAGTGGTGGAAGAAGACTGACCGCTCATCCCCACCCCTTCCTGGAATATCTAGCCTGGAGGTCAGGTGGAAGCTGGTGGGGATCGGGGCACCAGGGTCAGAGGAGGGCTGCCCGGAGGTTGGGTCAGGAGGCGCCTTACCAGGATGGTAACCAGGACCACAGACAGAGAGACAAGCAGCAGACTGGGGACTTCCCAGGTCCTAACACCCAGCCAGGCCTGGGGAACATGGAACAAACAGGTCAGGATAGTGGCGGGGGCAGTTATCACCTGCTTCTACAGTGACAAAACAGAGGCTCTGAAAACTACTGGCCAAGTCTGGGTGGGAAGCAGGGAGAAGAGCTTCAGGGAACTATCTTCTGAACTCAGAGGCCCCATCCGGGGGTTGGTGGGACTGGAGACCCCCCAGCTCCTCTCTCCTGCCCTGGGGCTCCCCGGAGCTCACTTACCATGGGTCCCAGCTGCTGCAGGAGTGTGAGCAAGGAGGAGATGAGGTCTGCAGCACTCTGCAACCAGATGGGGCCATAGCCGCTGAACCAGAGCACCCCGCAGGCAAGCTGGGGCAGCCAGGGAGAGAGGACTGAGTTCGGAGCCTGGGCTCCTTGCCCCCACATTCACCTGCAGAGATCACCTTCAGCCTCCACCTGGCCTCCCAAGGTCCCAACTGAGTAGCTGAAGGAAGGGCCCAGGTACTGTGTGTCCAGGGAAGGCCCCAGGACTCTCCCTGTGGAAGAGCTGACTGCAGGGAGCCAAGAGGGCCGTGTCAGAGGGGGGACCCAGATACCCACACACAAAGGGAAGTTTCCCAGAGGTGCCTCCACAGTCAGCAAGTCCTCGGAGAGACTCCCTGCAGGGCTGGGAGTTGGGTGATGCCTGAGTTCCTGCTTCTCAGGTTAAGAAGGGCAGGGTGTCAAGCGTTAGCTATCGAGGCTGCAGCTCAGAACTCCAGCCTCCTTCTCCCACCAACCTGTGGGTTTGGAGTCCGCGAGGGACACCAAGAAGGCCCCTCACCCCTCAGTACCCCAGGCTGCCATCTTGGGGAGTCAGTGGAGGGCTGTCCCTCTACCAGCCCGCCCTTCAGGCCCTCACGAGGCCTGTGATGTCCTTACCAGGAACTGGGAGGCAGCCAACAGGCACAGGCTGCTCCTGACAGCGAGGGAGTGGCTCCCGGCTCCTCGAGGTGGCGGCTTCAGAGCTGGCTCTGGGGGTGGTGAAGGAGGTGGGGGCGGCGGCATCTCTCTCTGTGAGTCTGCAAGCCCTTCGGCCACGTCCAGCGCCTCCATCACTACCGGCTGGGGCAGACCTGGGGAAGGAGCACACGCCGCCCGATGATGCGGGCTGGCCGACTCACGGCCGGCCGCTCCTTCTGAGGTTGCTCTGGCTTCCTCTCAGTCCGGGATCAGGCAGCGTGGCTCCACTTCCAGCCGTCACCCTCGATTAGCAAAGCAATATTCACCTACCTTCGTCAGAAAGAGCTAAGTGTGGGTGGACAAATTATTTCTCTTTTATTTCTCCAGTAACAGAGTTAAAATGGCATGAGGTTTTTCAGGGAGTTAACATCGTTGTGTTTACGCAGCCTCATTCTTTTCCATTTCTTAAGGAAACAAAAAACAACCACCTCAAACTCAATTAAAAGAGAGAGAGAGAAAAAGACACATTATAACCAGGCCATGACCCTGAACAGCCCACCCACGCCTGCCCTCTGAATTTTTGTCTCTCACGGTCTGTGCCCTGACTGAGGCTGGAAGGTGAGTATCTGATGAGACCACTGCCACATGCCCCTCCCCTACCTCGAGACCCCCTAGTGAGAGAGGGTGGGGTGGTCAGAGTGGTGGGGAGGAAAATCCTGGTGCAGTAGAATTGACATCAAATGTCCAGGATCCAGTTCTGGGTCTGTCTCTAGTTGTGTGACCTTGGGAGAGTCACCCCCTTTCTGGGATTCAGTTTTCACACATGGAAAGTGGGGGTTGGGCCCAGTGCTTGGTTTTCTAACTGTGCTTTATGCAGGCCCAGCCCTTTCTCAGGTGCACTGACTATGACCAAGTGCTCTGAGTCCCTATGCCTGTCAACCATGGAAGCTTTGCTTGTCCCCACTCCAGTATATTGGGTTTCCTCTGAGATTATTTACAGGGTTCCACTAATAAAAATGTCTGAACACCACTGGCTTAAAGCTGAGCCCTGGCTATAGTATAAGGATTCCAGCAGCATCTACCTTGGTGAGTCCCACATGCTGGAGGTCCCAAATCAAGCCCACATGGTTCAGTCTACTGCCAAGAAGAGAGGGACCAGCAAAATGAAAGTATATAGCTTGAGAGGGGATGGGACTGCCCACATGTCACTGGGTAGTGTATGAATTCCTTCCTGGTTGGGGATAATGGAACACCCACAGCCAAGACCATGTGATGCTGACGTAGTTTGTTCATGTGCTTGCTTGCTCACTGGACAGATATTTACTGAGCATCTCCCACGGCCTGGATCAACAGTGTGGTGCAAAGAGCTCAGGCCTTAGAGACAGCTATGTCTGTCTAACAGGCTTCTCCCAGACGCTAACCCTGTATTGCTCCCCATTTGCTATGTGCCAACCACACTCCTTGCAGTTCTCAGGTGAGCACCCGCCCCTTCCCATACTTGGCGCATGCTAGTCCCTCTGCTTGGAACATCCTTCCAGCACCCGGGTTCTTCCCCCTGCCCCTCACACACTTTGCCAGGTTAACTCCTTTTCATCTTGTAGAACTCAATCAGATGCCACCCAAAGTAGGTCCTCCCTTATCAAACAATCTTAGCACCCCATGCTGCTCCTTCATGCCACTAGCCCCAGCAATACACTTGGAAAGTGCAAAGCCCTGCTGTGTGTGCTCTGCATGTTATTCACTCTTCACATTACTCCTATGAAGTCAGTACTATGATTCTCATTTTACAGAAGAGGAAGATGAGGTGCAGATGGATTATAAGACTTGCACAAGGTCAGCTAGCTAGTAAGTGATTGAGGTGGATTCAGACCAAAGTAGTTAGAGGGCTCTGGGCTACATTATACTCACTGCAGTTTGTAAATTCATTTGTTGAGTATCATCTCCCCCACTCCTCTGTACATTCTATGAGGGCAGGAATGGTATCAGTTTTATTCATTATGATTGTCCATGGCATCTAGCACAAGCCCTGGCATGTAAGTCTGCAGTAAGTACTTACTAAATGAGTGAATGATCATGGGCAGGTGTTAACCTTTTACTGAGTTTTCTTACCTGATAAAAGAAGACAAAAGGGGAAAGCTGTGATAAAGACTGTAGATGTTATAAATGAAACACTCAGCATGGCACCTAGCATTTAGTAGGTGGTCAATAATTGTCAGATTATAACAATAACACATACTTCCTCCCTTAAAAGTCTCCCCTTTTCATGGGTAAAACAGACTAGTGGATACATGTTTACAATTATGTAAAAAACCTGAGTGCTGGTGGAGTCTATGGGCATCTACCTTTGCCCCTGGAGGGTACAGTTATTCACCACATGAGCAGACAACTCAGATCCTGGCCAGCAAGTGATAAAGGAAAAGCTGCTGCTAAGGAAGCCAAGAGTTTCCACTATTGATAAGCAGAGGGTTGATTAATCAAGTGTCAAGGCATCCGCCCAATCCTCAGAAAAAGCAGCTGGAGGGTGATGCCAAATGTAGAAGGGGGGAGGGGTACAGACCAGGGGTCATCTGGCTTGGCTCTGCAATGCACATGCTGTGGACCTCGGGCAATCCCTTTTCCTACCTGGGTCTCAGTCTCTTGATCTGTAAAAAGAGGGGCTTGAACTAGACCCAGGGCTTCTCAGATGTTTCTGCCATCCTCAGCAGACAGGTTTTGGGGGGAGTTAATAGCAAGCTTGTATGATCCTGGACTTTGCTGCTTTGTTTTAAAATTCATGGGTGCTCTGAGTTCTATACTATGGTACATCTGCACTTGTTTTGATTTTAAAATAATGGTTTCTTTCCCCTCCCCAAAGGCATGAGGCAAATATATGCTTCTGGAAAATGTGCTATAATTTGTCCTGTGGCTTTGCCTTCAGGGGTACACGCACCCCAGTCTGAGAAGCATGGAACCTGCCTGCAATAACATATCATGCCACTGTTAAAAATGACTCTGTTGATAAATATTTAATAACATTGAAAGAAATATCAGTGGTGTTGAGTGCGAAAGGCAAGGTTACAAAAAGGTATGAACTCCTTGGCCTGGAAAACTAAGAAAGTATAAATGTGCATATAAAAAGGCAGAAAATACCCATTATAAGATGAAAGGGTAACAGGTGACGGTACTCGTAGAGCATGCAGCACAGCGAATGCCTGGCACATAGTAAGTGCTCAGTGGATGTCATACATGGCAAATGAGAAGAACAGAAGCCAGGCATTAATAATAGTTATTTGGGGGAGGGGGAGGTTAGAGGCAATTTTTTTCATTGTTTAAATATTCTCAATTTCCTCCAATAAGCAAACACATATGCACAAAGATATGTAAATATATGTGTATATACATACACACATGAATTTATAGTAAAAAAAAGAATTTAGAAAAGAGATCCCCATTCTGAGTTCAGACACCATGAGGCCTAGTTAATATTTGCAGGTTCTGGGGCCTGACTTCCACCTGTCACATCTCCCTAATCATGGTGGGGCACAGGGGATAAGAGTTTGCATGGCTCTTTGGGGACCACCCAGCAGAACATCCCCTCAGAAGACAGGCCCCCTTAAGATGCATGATCATCACTTTTAACACATACATCCCTTTTACATATGAAAGATGGCAGATTCACTGCCTTGCACTGTAAGGGAGTGGGAGAAAAACTACAGGCTGGGGCCTAGTATGCATATCTGAGACGGCCAGACTGATCCAACCGAATACCCAGTAGATGCCTGCCTTTCACGCAGTGTTTATTTAAAAGCTTTTCTGGACAGGTATCTAACATTTCTTTACTCAGGAAGATACATTTACTATATTTTGCATATAATTTTGGAGGGGATCTATGGGCATTCTGTGATCTCAGGAGTGGGGAGTAGAAGTCTGTGATAGAAAGTGCTGGAAGCAGGGGAGGTGGAGAAGTGGCTGGGAACGCATCTGATTTCAGTCTCTGCTTATTCATGAGAGTGCAACACACACTTATTGAGTACCCGTGGTATACCTTGCCAAGCACTGTGCTAGGGTCTGGGGATACAGCAGGGAACAAACCATCCCTCCACTCCAGGGACCACTGGTCCTGGGCCCATCTGTCCTTTTGGCTTCCCTGTCTCACTCCAGGGATTATGTCTTGCCCTGCCCACCCTTCCTCACTGCCCTACTCTGGGAATGATGATGCCGCCTCCCTGGAAAGGCTCTGTGCAGCTCCTATAGCGCTTCTGCGCATGCAGCTACATGTGCTTCTCTCGGCAGCCCTGTGAGGCAGACATCATCAGCTACGTTCTCTCAGTGAGAGGCAGCTGCCTGTGTCGAGGGCAGGGTGTGCAGTAGTTCACAGGGAGGTAGCTGCCCTGCTGCGCATGAAACCCTGACTCAGAGGCAGCTGGCTGACAGTGATTTAGCATCAGGCTCCTCATGGACTTGCCTCACGTGCAGAGTGAGGGGGATTTTCTAGGCATGGAAATCGAGGCTTAGCAAGGATAGGTGGCTTGCCTAAGTTAAGTACGGACCTGAGATTTAAACCCAGGGCTTCCTGACACTAGTGATCTTTTTTATTTTACCATACTACTTATCAGGAAAGGGGCTCTGTCGGCAAGTCAGGGCGGTCATGAAGGCGTGGGAGGGAGGGAGTGCCTGTGCCCCGGGGGAACCATGAACCCTGACCAGCTAGTGTGGGTGGTGGTGGTGCAGCTTTTGTGCCTGATTCCCAGCTGATAGCTCCTCATAGGCTTATGTGTCATGAAACCTTTGAGCTCAGCATCCCAGGCCAAAGCTCTAGGGATCTCAGTAAGGCTTGTTGGCAAACAGCCTTCGGATTTTACCTGGGATATATGGAAATGCTACGGATCCCTCTCCTGTCACCGAGCACCTGAATCCCACCATTATGCTCTGCAGCTACCGTGTGCCCTGGGGGTTGGAACGCCTGAGCTTGAGAACCCGGGGCTGTGCGTCAGTGACTCATCCCTGGAGCTCCCGGGCTGCCAGCCCACCGGAACCGATCAGAAGGCTGCCTCAGCCTGTTCCTGTTTACAGGAGGAGGCCGGTTTTGTCCCATTCAGCCTTTCTGCCCTTCCCAAACATGGCCAGAAATGACCGTGCAACCAATTACCACACAGTCACAGGGGGCCCTGGCCAACAGAACGTCACACTCAGT